CAAAACTGTGTGGCATTGCTGACTGTACTGAAGTCACCTGCATCTTATTCTATAGACTTTTATAGTGCTTTTCAGTAGAATATTACTCAAGAGCTAGTTTGCAAGGTGAATATTATAAACTCACATGAAGGAAACTGTCTCTCAACTATGTTTACCAAACCTACTAACCTTTCCTCCCTCCTTTCTCATCTTCTTCATTCTCCTTCTAAATGTCATAGACCATTTATAAACTTGCTCTGTTCAATTGCAGCCTTAAGCCAGGGCCTCTATCCTTTTGTCTTTGAAGTCCCCATGGTCCCTAGGACAGAAGTGAAAGTGTTATAGGTTTTCTCTACTTTGCTACCTTGCCAGGCATCAAAATCTTCCTTTCCCCCTGAACAACTTTGACTGACACACCTTTCAACGTATCTGTTTGTACACATAATATGGTTCAGGAAAAGACAATAGACCAAGTAATTATCTTGAAGAACAGAAGTGTCTGTGTATGTTTTAGTAATTGCACACACATATTTGTGGCTCCCATTGCCATCTTTTGGTACTACAGTTAAAAATTTGGAAAATTATTTGCTGACTATGGACATAGGCATACTCAATAGGAACAACAAGCATAAGGTTATACAACTCAAACATGTATCTTTTATTCCTACAAACCTCATTCTATGTGTACAAAATCATAAAGATCAAAGTAAACATTAGATGAATATGAATGCCAACTTATAACTAAATAGAAACTGTACATTTAGAAGACAAAATTTGATTTTAGAATAAAGAAACATATCCTGCCCTTGCTTTATGTACTCATAGTCTGTCTGTGGAGTAGAGTAGCTCTGATAAACTGTGAGATAGGAGATAATGAGCCCCACTGTGGACTACAATTCTGATAAGCTATAGAGAACAGAGTTGTAGAGCCTAACATGAAGCTTACCTAGGTAGTCCTGCTTGTCCAAATATGTTTTCTTCAATGTCACATCTGCAGGAGAAAGTGCTGTTACATGGTTGAAACTAGGTGTCTCACTGGGCTTCCTTCTCCATACTTAGACTGTAAAAGGCTCACAAACTTTCCAGAAAACTAGCCATGAAAAATCTCCTTCATTATGATTTCAGCAATATTATGGGGTGCATGATGCTATGACTTAGAATTGTTACAACTTTTTTTTTTTTTTGAGACAGTCTCACCATGTAGCAAAGCTGGCCTGAAACTTGCTATGCAGTCCGCCTGCCCGTGAACTTGTGATCCTCTTGCCTCAGCCTTTGGTTTCTTACTATTCTCAAGAAACCAGAATATAGAAAAAGATGGACAAAAATATAGTATAGCATATCATATTTCCATTTCAAGATGGCATTTTGAACTCATCTCTTTTCCTTCCCAAAATCCTAGTGAAATTACCATAGAAATATTAAGAAAAGCATTGGACTGAAGGTTTGGCTCAAGTGGTAAAGCACCTGCCTGGTAGCACAAGGCCCTGGGTTCAAACCCCAGTACCACCAAGAAAAAACATCTTTCTTATTCAGAAAACAGGAAGGCAGGCAGAAGGTTAGGAATTGTGAAACATTTCACAAATTTTTGATAGAAATGAAATTGAGGAAACTTGACTGAGCACATGATCAACATAGGTAAAGGGCATCCCTGTCTGAGAATTAAGCTCCCAAACTGAAACCCTCAGCGATTAGAAAGAAACGCTTGACTGTAGGGTAACTGATGGAGAACAAGTCAAAAGATTTGGGGACTCACACCCCTGTCTAGTTAGAGAGAACAGTAGATAGGGAAGACTGATTGGGAAGTCACTGTGTTTAGACCCTGCTTAAGTAAATGTTTGAATTTACATTGTCATGATGTTGTACAGGGGATTCTGTTGTCACCCCTCTTTTAGAGGAAGCTGATGTGTCCTCTTCACTACTGTGCTGTTGTCTCAGTGAACTCCTGATAGTAACTCTTAAAAACAAACCTGTGAGATAAGTTACCTTTATTATCCTTATTTCTGCTGAGGCACAGAGGTTTTAAGTAATTTGCCCAAGGGCCCACAACCAGTAAGTACGGTTTTGCCACCTGGAGAATGAGTGTGGAATCTTTGCATGTTTGTTGAGTTGCTGTAACAAAGAAAGGGAAAATACCTTTTCTGTCCATAGCTTCCTTCTCTTGGTTTTTGTTTGTTTGTTTTGAATGGGCTATTTAGGATGTCAGACCAAATCTGCCTCAAAAATGCAGTTGGTGGTTAGGGACAGACCTTGCAGTGGGGGTCGGCTGGGAACAAATCTTAATTTCATTAATTGAATTAAAAATTACATGCCACAGTTTCTTCACATATAGGGATTTTATATCTCAGCAAAACAGTGTACCTCCTATTTTAGTTCTGTCTTTCTTGTTGTTCATTCCCTGAATATCAAAACTAATCTAGAAAAATAAAACTATAAAAAGTACATAATTTCTCCCTTCATCTAGGAAATAAAGATTTTACCCACAGAATGTTTTGGGTTTTTTTTAAAGCCTTTCAAATCCCAAAGATGAACAAGTCAATATTAAACGCAGTGTTCACCAGAAGGTGATAGGTGGTGGTAGGTGTAAATTTTTAGTAAGACTAGGCAAGCTCTGTACCCTTGTTGGAATTTCAGAGTAAACTAATGGTGTTGTTCAGTTCTTGGTTGAATCTTGGCTTTCTTTTTTGTTTGTTTTTTGTTTCATTTTGTTTTAAGCTCTCACTTATTAAATATCCAAATCTCAGATTACCTTATCTATGGGAGATGTGTGCCAAGACCCCAGTGGATGCCTGAAACTGCAAACACTCCAAACCTTATACATATTTTCCCATACGTACATAACTGCAATAAAGTTTAATTTATGAATTCACAAAGTAAGATGTTAACACCAATAATAATAAAATTGAACAGTTTCAATAATATATGTAATAAAAATTATGTGACTATGGCCTCTATCCTCTCTCTCTTTCTCTCTCTGTGAATATTTTAGTATATTATACTTATCCCTCAAACCAGAGAAAGTCAAACTGTGACTAAGGAAGGACTAGGGTGCTATGTATCTTTGTTGTGTGTTTCTGTAATCCAGAACTGTAGGTCTCAAGTTTAAAAGTTTATAAGAATTTTTATGTTGCTTGATAAATATCTAAATTCCTCTCTTCCTAAACGGTAACTCACAGGTATAGAATGGGGTCCATAATTTTAGTTTAGTTTATTTTCTTTTCTTCCCTTCCCCTTCTCCCCTTCTCCCCTTCTCCCTTCCCTCCTTCCCCCTTTCCCCTTCCTCCTTCCTGTTCTCTCTTCCCTTCCCCCTTTCTCCTCTCCCCTTTCCCCTTTCCCCTCTCCCCTTCCCTCTTTCTCCTCTCTGTTTCCTCCTTTCCCTCACTCCCCTCCCCTTCCCCCTTTCCCCTCTCCCCCTCTTCCTTCCCTCTTCCCCCTTTTCCCTTGCCCCTTTCCCCTCCAGAAACAGGAAGCGCTCTCTGTTTCTGCTTTGGCAAGATGCCTCTCAGAGGAGATGATTGTTTAAGAGTGGTGAATTGAGGGGGCTGGTGGAGTGGCTCAAGTGGTAGAGTGCCTGCCTAAGCAAGCGTGAGGCCCTGAGTTCAAACCCCAGTACCGCCAAAAAAAAACAAAAAACAAAAACAAACAAACAAAAAAAGAGTGGTGAATTCCAAAATGCTAGATGATCTGTGCTTGGTAATGAATGTCAAAACCCCTGAGATGTTAGAATGTCTAAAGCATGCAACTATTGTTCAGGGTGTATTTAGAAAAGATAAGCTTTTCTAACTGAGTAGGCTCTAAAGATGAGTTATTTCATCCCTAAACTAAGGAAACAGTGGCCAGAAAGTTAGAATACCTAACGTAATAGAAAAACCAAGACTAGAACTAAAATTTCTACTTTTAATCTTTCAAGTTGTAATCATTATAAAAATTAAAGTGGACTGCAACTCATATGCTGTCTGGGAATTATCAGAAAAATGTTGAGTCAACAGTTGGAAATGTATGGAGATTTTTTTGTCTTTGGTGGCACTGGGGTTTGAACTCAGGGCTTCACACTTTCAGGCAGGTGCTTTATTCCTTCAGCCACACCCTCAGCCCTTTTTTGCTCTACTTTGAATAGGGTCTTGTGTTTTTGCCTGGGTGGGCCTCTGACCATTATCATCCTTTGTATGCTTCCAGCATAGCTTGGATTATAGACATGTACCACCATGCCTAGAATATTTGTGGGGTTTTTTTTTGGGGGGGGGAGTACTGGAGTTTGAACTCAGGACTTTATACTTGCTAGGCAGGTACTCTACCACTTGAGCCATTCCACCAGCCTGAGAGTATTTGTGGAAATGGGATGTCACTACCTTTTTTGCCTGGGTTGGCCTTAATCCTTGATCCCCTCCAGTCTCTGCTTCCCACCCAGAGGGAAGCTCTGTCACACCCAGCTTCTGGAGACATTTTTGGTTGTCACTTTAATGGGAAGAAGCTAGGGAATACTATTCAGCATCCTACAGTACACAGGACAGTTCATCCAGCGAAGGATTATCCAGCCCAAGACATCAGTAATGATCAGGTTGAGAGAGGCCTTTTACTCTAAGGAACTCAGCATGATGGAATTGGCATTAGAGTTCAGACCATAGGCTCAGTCTAGTATGCTTCCCATTGTTCTTAAAGCAGGGCATTGAGAACTTGAGTTCCTATGATGAGGGAAGAGTCAGAGTGGGTCTGTTTTGCGTCTGTTGGAGGGGTCCACTTACAATGCAGATTTTGTAGTCTGGTAAAGCACCTTGTGTGTTCCACATTCGTCCTGGACATGGTCTTACTTCATCTTATGTATTTATTGGCTAGCAAGTACTAAATTTGAGTCATTTACCCAAATGCTATTGAAATCAAAACAACTATGCTATGCATAGCACTCATTGCTAACCTTAAGACTGGTGGGACCTTTCTTTTATAGGAAATGTTATCAAGACTCAGCTAGAAATTAACAGATCCAGAATTTGAATATCATATAAACTTTTTTTTTTTTTTTTTTGCAGTACCATTGCTTTTTGGCCCTGGCTGACCTTTAACCATAATCCTCCCAGTTTCTGCCTCCTGAGTACCTCGGATTGCAGGTGTGAGCCAGTGCACCTGGCCTGACTCTTTAACAGAAGTCTGTAAGTTTAACTCTCACCTACAAAGAGTAGCATGTGACTTTTAGAAGCTCTTAAAATTGAGGAATAAATTTTTCTAGGTAGGTGCTCTACCACTTGTGCCATTCTACCAGTCCTAAAGGATAAATTTTTCTTACTAGTCCTTATTAAGTATTGTTTGGTTTCGTCCCATATTCTAATCCAGAAATTAGATACCATCTCTCTGAATGTATTGCCTTCATATTGACCTTGAATGCCTTGATTTTTGCCTCAGTAGGCTGCTTCCCTTCCCTTTTACCAAGCGCCAATAATTTTTTAGTCTGTTAAATGTTACCTCCTCAAAGAGGACTTCTCTCCTTTTCTTCCCTCCTGCCCCCTTTCATCTAAATTATTCTTTGGTCTTCTCTACCACAGTACTGTGGTTTACTTCCTTCACACCATTTACCACAAATTGTAGTTCTATATACCTGTACATACTTACTTGCTTACATATTTAATGAAGGTTTCCTCCCCTAGAGTAGCTCCACAAAAGCAAATGTCTTGCTTTTTGCATCTGATTCCTTGTAGATGGTTATTGAAACCTCTATGGATTTTGTAAAAATTAATAAAAACTTAAGGGGGGGCAGTAGTGGGGATTGAGCTCAAGGCCTCACATTTGGTAGGCAAGCACATCACCACTTGAGCCACACCCCCAGTCCTTTTGCTTTTAGTTTGTTTTTCAGATAGGGTCTCACCCTTTTTCCCAGCCTCTAACTGCAGTCCTCCTAGTTCTGTCTCCCAAGTAACTGGGATTACAGATAGCTACCACCACACATGGAATGAGTATTTGTTGAATTCTACTCCAGAGATTGTAAAGTAGAAATTAGAAAGTTTCTTGCCCTCAAGGAACTTGCTGTGTATATATAGAATTTCTTATCTTCGTGTTTGTTTGTTTTTGTGGGGCTGGGGTTTGAACTCAGAGCTTTATACTTGGCAAAGCAAGTGATCTGTCACTTGAGACATAGCTCCAGTCCATTTTTTTCTGGTTATTTTGGAGATTGGGATCTCATGAACTATTTGCCTGGGCTGATCTCAAACCAAGTTTTATCTCATATTTTAAGAACTGTAAATTAAAATTTCCTTAAGAGAAGATTACTAGGGAAACTCAGAAAAGAAAGAAGTTTATCCTGTTAGGGGCTCAAGAAAAACCTCATGAAAGAAGTAGCATTTTAACCCTTAAAGAATGAGTTACAGTATAAATTCACAAGAACAAGGGCCTTATTTTAGCTTTATCCTTAATCCTGGTTCTATTTATTCAATGTTGAATAAATAGTGGTAGGATTTGTACATATACAGAAAATGGGAGGGAAAAGAAATTCCAGGAAATGACACAGACCAAAAAAAAGACATACATGTGTGAAAATACCTAAATTTGTCAGGAAAAGTGAATAGATTGGTTTTAGTGAAATGCAAATGTGAAGGGGATTAGTGTGAGATAAGACTAGAAAGATAAATCAGAGACTTAAATGCCAGATAATAAGCATAAAATCAGGGCATCAGTATCAGAAGTTGGGGTGAAGATATTTAGGTTTGTCTCTGTAGGCAAAAATTTATTGTTCTTGGTAGTACAGCCTAAAAAGCAAACCACAGCTTGAATAACACATGCAAATAGGAAGCACCTGGAGTACAAATATTAGTTTAGTTTGGAGTACTGGTTCTTTCACCAACATTGTCACCATCAAATAGCAAGATCAGATTCCCATGGAGCACCTTCTATATCTGGCTTGGCTGGAAAGAGAGTGTTTGCTTATGTTTCCGTAATGGAGCAACACTTGCCTGACAAGTCCCTCAGGTGTTTGAGCAGTTATCATGGAATTCATATGTTACTGAGGAACTCCATGCAATGACTTCTAAGGTCTGTCCAATTCTTACTGAGATTCTGGGTCCCACAATTTCAAGTGATCTACACATAGGTGAAGAAATGGCTTATCCATTTCTTTCTAGACTTCATCGTTTGGACCCAGACTTTTCTCCTTAGCTAGCTCAAAGAGTGGCATCCAAGAGGGGCTCGTGAAATGTCTTCAGCTGACAAGAAGCAATTTTTGAAGAAATACCTCTATTCAACTACTTCTCCTACCTTTTCACTTCATTCTGTCAGCATGATGACAGAAATATAGGCACAGATTGAAAAATGTTATAAAAACATTTTAGGGTATTTGGTGAGCTCTAGTCCCAGTTAGAAATATAGGGAAAGGTACAATGTGTTACGGATGTTTAGAGATCTTTGAACTAGACCTTGGAAGATGGGAGAATTTGTTGCATCAGAGATTAGAAGGATGGACATTCCAGACTAAAGAAACAACAGGAGGGAAAAATACAAGCGTGGGCTATGTCTGAGGAGTTATGGGAAACTTTGACTGTCAGACTCGTTTGGCTGGAGCACAAGGTACATGTAGGCAGAAAGGTAGGTTGGGATTGTTCTAGAGTTGTCATCTCAAACCACCAAAGTTAATAGATGATAGAGAAGTGAATAGGCAGTGGCATTTTTTAAACAGTCATGTCTTAGGTAGAATAATTTGTCATTCATGTATCATATAGAATGGACATAGCATGGGAAACCACTAGGAAAAGTCATGTTTGTAATAGAGCTGCTGATGGTAAAAAACAGAGGCTAGCTGGTGAATCTTCTAATTTACTGGAGATTAGGAAAAGTAACCAAAATGATAACATTTATGAATACAAAATATGACACTGAGTAAAGAGTAAGATAGCTTTAATGAAGATTAAACACTAGGCTAAAAGCAAAGATACCTAGCTTCTAGCTAAGTTACCCCCACATTTTTCTAGTGGAACATTGAAAGGTTGCTTAAGCTCTCTGTTCCTGTCTTAGAAGGAAGAGATACTATGAGGATAAAAATCAAATAATAGCACTAGATTTATGGGAAAGACTTGTCCTTGTTTCTTTCCATGTTATTTGTTAAGGTTCCGAGCAATTATTTATTTGCTAACTGTACATAGTAAAAATATTCTTAAGTGGATCTTATCTCACGTTTGCTGTTTCCTCTACTGGCCTCTTATGTGTCACTTATCAAAGTGTAGGGCCTTAGGGACTTAATTCATATAAAGAATCTGGTTTGGCATTTCAGACCACTTAAAAGTCAATAGCAGCTGAGTACTCTCTTCCCTTTTAGAAAACAGAATAAGTTTTGCTTATAGGCTCTCTCCCCAGAACTGTCAATCAAAACAAGTATTTTGCAAAAGTATCTATATAGGCAAATTAGGCCAAAAAGACAGAAATAATTCACATTCTCCAAAGAGCTTTGTGATTTCAGACTCTAGGCTTTAATGAAATGAATAGTTGGAACTAGATGAACTCATCCAGCTCTTAAAAAAGTTCAACTCGCCTCTGTTTCTTCTACATGAACTGCATTTTGCTACTTCTTAAAATAGACCTATTGCATAGTTTCCAAGCACATTAGATAGTATTATACAGCATCTCAGACTCATTAGGGTGGTGGAGAGAAAATTAAAGTTTGCCTAGTATGTCATTAAAGCATTAAGGAATTTATCTATCTTATGTCTAAGTTGCCAGCAGAAAAAATATAGAAAAGAAAATTATTTCTGAAGATATTTACTAGGGCTGCAGAGTGGCTCAAGTGGTAGAGTGTCTGCCTAGCAAGCATGAAGCTGAGTTCAAACCCCCAGTACTGCCAAAAAAACAAACAAAAAGAAAAACTGAATTATTTACTGTAATTTACTTCTATGTGCAGAGTATTAGAAAATGTGGGAAATTCAAAGATGATTAAGACAGGCTTGTCACGGACCTTACAACCTAATCTAAGGATAGAGAGAAAGAGACAGAAAGAGATATTCTGTTTTCCTGAAAACTGAACCGAAAAAAGATTTAGAAGTAAGTTTTGGCTCTAGGTAGAAATTAATCAGATAATTTATTGTTTTTACAGTTAAGGAAATGGAAGTTCTAAAATATAAAATAATTTGCCCAATAAAGTATCTATTACCCACTTCTTGTATGTTTAGACACCTTTTTCCCCCTTATATTTTGTTGCTTATATAGTAGTTTGTGGTCCATTCACATTTGTCAAGAAGACATAAATAATCTAGGGATTGGGCAGTGGACATTTTAAAAGTTAAGTTTGTCATTAGCATTGATGATGATAGCCCTTGATGGCTATATAATTTATCATGCAATCAGTTCCTCCAGAGTCTGTCTTGTCCCAACAAGTTTCCCATTTCCTTTGCTTAGTATGAGCAGCTTAATAAGGTGCTTAGATGACATTTATGATACAAGGTGGGTAATGACCTTGAACCAACATCTGGAAATAAAGCATGTTTTTGTTTTGTCTTTTTCAGATTAGAATCAAATCCCGGGTTTGCTTTCTGCCTTTCTATAGATAAAATTGGAGTAAGATTCTCAGATCAGCTCCTAAATTACTGTTTTTTTTTTTTTTGGTAAAGCTCTAACCAAGAGCTTCCGAGTGAAAGACCTACTCCCACTAATTCATGGCTGCTGTTTTATTCCTTTAAAAAATTTGTCAATTCATGCAGCATTTCTTGTTTGCCTAGATCATTGGCCACTCGTAAATGAAGGCTCTTTAAGTTTTAAGTGTAATTGTTTGATGTAGTTTTTCCCTTTATGTGTCTGGCGGGTAGATTACTTTTGATGTGGCCCAGGAGTCTGATGTATGAGTAATTCAGCCACATAAATTCTGCTGTTACTTGACTATGTAAACTGTGTATAGTTTGCTTTCTTTCCGTGAAAAGAGTTTTCAGGGACTCATGTTCAGATTATCTGAAGAAATGCTTACTTTGGTAAATGGTGAAGAAAGAAAATAACATAATGATTATTGAAAATCTAAAAATCACTAAGTCAATTCTTGGCCAGTTCTGTCAACATTTTTCTCAGCCCAACCAGTGCTGTGAAGAAATGCAAGTGAGAATTTGTAGATGATCCCTTGGAATTCTTTTTATTAGGAAGAAACAAAAAGATGAGCTGATAGGGTAGCTCAAGTTTGTAGAGCACCTGCCTAGCAAGCGTGAGGGCCTGAGTTCAAGCCCCAGTGCCACCAAAAAAAAAAAAAGTAGTCATTGTTTGTTGAAGAATTTTAATTTTTTTGCTTTTAATAATTATTTTTATACATTTTTAAAACTGCAATTTTTCAGAATAAATGAGGAAAAATTTTTTTCTCATATTGAAGTAATCATCTCTTTGGTATAAAAATCAGAACATATGTGTGATCTTAAATTATCAAGGACTATGACTTTAGACGCTAACCAAAACTATCCTTCACTCTTCACCCATCCATTTGTCCCCTCCCATAGCTCCATTGTGGAGCTTTAAAACATAGTTCTTTACACATGAACTTATCTACAAGGAATTAAGACACCACATAAAAGATGTTATTGGGGAATTTTTAAAAAGACAAAAAGGTAAGAGTCTTGTATGTATGTATATGGTAGAGAAAATGATTGTGGTAAGTTTCTGGAATTTTTTTTGTTTTAATTTTTTGAGACAGGGTCTCACTATGTAGGCATTTGATCCTTCTGCTTCAAGTCTTCTGAGTGCTGGGATTACAGGTGCGAACCACCATGCCTGGCTATAGTTTTTGGCAATTATTCTGAGTTCTGACTGACTACCCTGATAAGCCTACAATTGTAGCGGGTACTGTATCAACTCCTATTACTTGCCAAATTTATTCTGGGAATCAGTATCTCTTTGAATATATATAATTTTAATGTTTTTTACATTTCTTCTTGTTGACTGGACTGTTTTCTCACTTCTTTCACTAATCATTTTACTTACTACTTTGTTTTTTTTTTTTTGGTGGAATGGGAGTTTGAACTTAGGGCTTCATGCTTGCACAGCAGGTACTTGACCATGTGAACCACACTTCCAGTGCATTTTACTCTGGTTATTTTGGAGATGGGGTCTCAAGAACTATTTGCCCCGGCTGGCCTCAAACCCCAATCCTCCCACTCTCAGCCTTCCAAGTAGCTAGGATTACAGGTGTGAGCCACTAGTGCCTGGCTTACTTACTACTTTTAATACACTTGTAAGGCAGAACTTCTGGAGTTATAAATTTCTGCCATTTCTAGCTAAGACCTTACAGTCCCGCTACTTTGTGGACCTTGAACTCAGTTCTTAGCAAAAGGTGAGGGTGGAGCTAAATTAGAGAACACAGTTCTTAGAGAGCAAGTAAAGTTGGCTGTGGGGTTTAGGGAAACTTGAATAGGCCAAAGATGGGCCAGTACAGCTCATGAGTACCATGAAGTCAAACCATTCTCTTCAGATTACAGTATTGCTGTCCCTGGTTTTGACCTACTCTTACATCAGTACTCATTTTTATTCTAGAAGAAGTTGAGCTTGGGTCAACTTGGATTAAAGTTATCAAAGGAACACAAAAACCAGTAATACCAGTTTACCTCTTGTAAGTAGAACTTCTACTTTTGTGTGTATGGTGCTGGGGCTCAAACGCAGGGCCTTGGGTATACTAGGCAAAAGCTCTACCATTGAGCTACATCCCCAGCTCTTATTTATTATACTTTAATAATTCCGAGTTTTTCCTTTTTAGGATCACTTAGGTTTGACATAGTCCCATGGAATTTTTCCTAGATAAGGCTTCCCACCCCTCTCTTTAGGCTAGGGATCAAATTCATGGCCTCACATATGCTAAGCAAATCTCTATCACTGAGCTACTATCCCAGTGTAGAAGGATTTTAGTGGAGCATAAGGACTTACCAGGATTTGTTTGAGTTTGAGTACAGTGTATGTTTATATGTTAATTTCCACCAGATTTATACCTCCTATGTAAGGCTACCAATGAAGTAAGCCTTACATAGGGTTCCATTACAGAAGTCCATTATCTGCTGACAACAAAAGGGAGTAGATTCTCTTCCTGCTGTTTTCCTGGTATATTAGAATGTGAAATGTATCCTGCACAGATGACTCTTCCCAACAGGTGCAATAGTTTGAAAGGTTTTCTTCAGATTTGAACATGAATTCCTGAGTCACTGATATGTCTGAAGAGCTTTGGCAACAGATTGTCATTGAACATATTTTCCTGATTGGTAACAAGGGGCCTAAACAAATAGGAACTTCTGGGTCTACAAAAATTGTTCATGGGAAAAATGTCGAAGCTCAAAGAAATCAAGGATACAACTCTTAAGTAGTTTGTGATGCTTTGTTCCTGCTTTTTTTTTTTAACACAACTTTATATGTCATCTGACACCCCAAAGTCAATTTATGATGATTCCATTTTCCTTCTAGCTTTTAGCTTTGAAATTCCTTGAGGGAAGATTCTGTATCTGGTTCATTTCTGTATCTCTTGGTCTCTTGCAACATAAGGCACTCAGTAAATAGTCACTGCCTCTTCATGACTGGGATTCATGTTGATAATATAGAATGAAATTATCCTTATGCATTGGAAGAGAATAAAATTTGTGACTTTTATTTCAGTCTCTTTATGAGGACATGCTAATTATTCTGCCTGGCAAACATCTTTTCATTCTGATTTCACTTTGTCTGCTTGGTTAAAAAGGATAATTTATGATCACTCAGATGTCAGTAACCTCTCCATCCCACCATGATTTCATCTTTATCTGAAAACTGCTGCCCACTTAATGATTGTCCCATTACTGACACTATTTTTTGCCTGCTATTTTTTGCATATTCTATTTTTATGTTTACTATGAAACCTTTGTAGACAAAAATCCTATTAAATATCTCTTTGTACCTCCAATCTAGTCCCTTTGTGACAATGCAGTTAATAGAAACATTGTCAAGCACTATAATTTTAAAATAATGTAGTATCAGGCATGAAAGTTACTAAAATTCAAAGTGGAACTTCAGTTATGCCTAAATGTTTTTATAGTATTCTTAACTGGAAATAAGCCTCTTTATAAGTCTACTACCATAGAATCATGAGGTAGGGGTTGAAGAGGGAAAAAGAGATGGCTGAATACCCGTATGGCTCCTTGGCTATGTAAACTTCCTGTCTAAAGTATATCTTCTCTAGCTCTTAGTAAAGTTGTCATATTACCCTGTTTATTTCCTTCATAACGCTAATCACACCATGAAATTGTTTTGTTTAGTTCATTGTTTCTATCCTTATCAGGTGTTTGTCTTATCCACTGTTAAATATTAGCACTTGGCTCAGAGTTTGGCTCCTAACACAGGCTTGATTGAATAAGTAGTTCTTCATTGAATGAATAATGCAAAGTATACTCAGGCTCATGAATTTGAATACCTATTTTTTTTTCTTTTGAGACAGGGTCTTGCTGTGTACCCACCAAGCCTTGAACTCTTGATCTTCCTGCCTTTACCTCCCAAGTGCTAGGATTGTAGGTGTTTGCCACAATGCTCCTAGAACAAATTTCTAAAGCCACCCTTTCTTCCACAAATTGGAGCTAGGGACAAAAAGAGTTTCTGTAGACAGAAAAAAATTCTGTAAACACCCTTTCCATACAAGCCCCAGCTTCCCACTTCACTGCACCAACTCCAACTATAGAGGAGTTATTGCTCCTTGGTTTATGTCCCAGGTTGACTTTCACAGTAAAGCACTGATGTGGTAGTAAAGATACAAAGCTGAATATGCAGTGTCTAGACTTAATTTAATATAGAATATCCAATTTATACCTTGTTTTTCATGTTCTCAACTCTAATGTCCTGGTAGTTGAAATTGTATCTAAAATCTGAGCACACTGCTTGCCCAGGGCAGCAATAGACCTTTCTTCTAATCTAAATTAGCTGAAGTCTGGGCTGATTGTCCTATATGTCAAAATGTAATCCAAAGGTCCTGATTAAACACAGGCCATTCCAATTAGGTGAATTATCTGAAGTACTGGCTTTTTATCTACTGACGTTTGTGATTAGAAAGCCTTAGTGGAATTAAATTTCATTAATGGTACCCATTGATACATTGTTACAAATTATCTATTTCCTACAACTCAAAAAGCTGCTTTTCTTCTCCTTATCTCTTATTTAAATTTGACCAGAAACAGTTCTGCAGAATAAGGAAGGATTGGGTGTATGATGCCCTTGTTACAAATCCTTTCTTCCAAGGGAGGGGGAAAGGGAAGGGGAGAGAAATGACCCAAACATTGTATGCACATATGAATAAAAAAAAAATCCTCTCTTCCCTATTAGCCCAGGTTACTTCTCTTTGTAGGTTTCATAACCATTTGTAGGTTATGAAAAATAATTCTGAGTAAAGAATTTGGAGAGCATTCATTCATTGGATGAAATTCTATATAATCAAAGTATTTACTAAGAAGGTATTGTTACAATTATAATTCTTTTTCTTAAGGGACTCTTCTGCTAACACTCATCTTTTCCTGGAAAAATGAATCATTCCCACCATATGGGGACGCACGATATGGACCACAACAGTACCATGTCACCTTCTCACTATCACCCGACCACCTCAGCCTCACATTCCCATGGCAACATGATGATGATGATGGTGAGTGCCAAAGAAGAGGCAGGACAGGACCTTTCCCACCCACGTAGGTAATAGAAATAATAGAATTTTACCTTCTAGTGAAATTATTATCTTTTTAAATACTAGAAGGTTATTATCTTTTTAAATGTCAGCTTTCCAATGAGGAAAACAACTAAAGCAAATCCCCCAGATGAGTCAAGTGATTTGCCTGTACTTATGTGGCAACTTTGCTACAGGGTCATACCAGAACCAAGATTCTAGGGTTCTTTCTTCTCTAGTCCTGTCTTTTGAAATTCACCCTTTCCTGAGTTAAGTTCTGGTCCTTATGCTTTGTGTAGGAAAGAGAAAAGGACACAAGGTGATGGGAGCACAGAAAAGTACTCTTAACTCATGTGTGTAGTACTAATGTAACATGAGGGAGAAAGCCTTCCACTTCCATGAACAGATACTCTTAACTTCTTCACCAGACCTGTTACTTATAAATGTCCTAAGCTTCTTTGCCTAAAATTTGCATTTAGGATCCTCAGTCATTTCTAATTGTCTTATTTTGGTTTTCTGACAGCCTATGACATTCTACTTTGGCTTTAAGAATGTGGAAATACTGTTTTCCGGCTTGGTGATCAATACACCTGGAGGTGAGTAAGCCATCAAGTGATGTTTGAGGGTAACAAGCATGTGAGAGATGGTGACAAAGAACTTAGTAACCTAGCACCTCTTTCTGTCCTAAGTACTGAATCAGTACTTAGCTTCGAAAAATAATTTAAATACCAGATAGAAGTCTTTTTACAATCCATTTCCTTTCATCTTTGTTTGATAAGGTATTCTTGACCTAAGAGTACAGCCATGTTCATGTACCACAAAGTAACCCGAGGCTAAAAACTGTTCATCTAGTATAATCTTCCTGTTTTTTCAGATAAATTAAGCCTCAAATAGTGAAATGGGTTGCCCTAAATCACATACAATTAGAGCTTGGGTCCACACCTTCTAGAACTGTCTAGACCCATGCTATTTCTAGTGTATCAAACTATGAACCACGTCGTTTCTGATTCTTGGCATGGCCCATGTTAGAGTCACCCCTAGTTTGGGGGTAGCTGACCATTTTGTGTCTGCCATGTTGCACTGGTGTGCTTTAAATCCATATTGCACAAGCTCAATAGTTGGACTGCTTTACTTACTAGGTACATATTTGGAACAAATCTGTTTGTTGGAAAAAGGAGGAACATTTGGTTCAGGTAGTGTGTTAAATTAGCAGTACAAATACATTCATATCATCATCAGCACTTCACCATGTAAAAGACTTAGCAAAAAATGCCTATAGATAATATGTAGTCAGCACCTAAAAGTATGTGGCTTAATATATTCCTTTTTTCAATATTCTGCATTGTGTGTTTAAATGTAACAGAGCTAATTTAATGGAGTCAGGCCACCAGACCAAAAGATGTTTGATAATAAGATGAATTATTGTATCTTAATCAGAAAGTAAATGTTTTCTTCAGCAGAGGCAGTGGTTTTCCTATTAACACCTGAGCTGTTTTATCCTGGTAGGTATAGAGGTAATAATTCAAAGTATTCAGTTACTGAGAGTAGTACTTTATCTATGTCTTTCTAGCTGGACAGCACACTGGCTAATGATTTTGACAGTGCCACTATCTTTTCCTTCCCCTTTAGAGATGGCTGGAGCTTTTGTGGCAGTATTTTTACTTGCAATGTTCTATGAAGGACTCAAGATAGCCCGAGAGAGTCTACTGCGTAAGTCACAAGTCAGCATTCGCTACAATTCCATGCCTGTCCCAGGACCAAATGGAACCATCCTTATGGAGACACACAAGACAGTTGGGTAAGACAATTGAATAAAGCCAGAGGAAAGTTCCAGAACACTGGCTTAATTAAGCAGCAAAGCAACTATTTTATTAGTAGTAGCCCTCTCACTGAATTCTATGTGACCTCCATGAAAACTGTCTTTGGAGAATTGGGTTTGTGGGGCCCAAGAAGTGTGATTAAAAACCCTTCTGCAAACACAGATGTTTGTCCTAAGTTGTAAATATTGGTCACTTTTGAAAGAAGGTGAATCTATATTTTAAACATTTGAGAAAATAATACCAAACAAGTTAAGAATTTCAGGTCAAGATATAAAAGGATGGCAGAATTCAATTTGTTCCTTTCTATAAAAAGTTGTATCTAGTCAGCTCTATCTTCATTTTGTTTATAATATAAAACTGTAGTAATGTCTATGTTCCAAGAAAAAAATATTTGAATAACTATTGTTTTTTTCTACAGATCAGCAGTTTTTTTTTTGAGATTTATATTTAATAGAAATGCAGGTCTTAAAAGTAGATTGGACCTTAAGAAATCCTAAAGACCAACATCCTATTTTTAGGCAAACAGTATTACTTATTCCCATTGTGCTGATGAACTTACTGAGGTGCAGAAAGTTGTGAATTATCTAAGGTGACACAGGAGATGAGTAGTAGTCAGGTCTCCTGATCTCCAGTTAAGTAATTGCTACACTACTACCCAACTCAATTCAAATAACATTTTTATAATTTGCAAAAGTGGAGGTACTGAAAGCGTGCAGGCAAATCAGTGTGGGAGGGTTTAGGGCTCCCCTTTCAGGATCCAGGGTAGAGATAACTCAAGATTATTTCTCCAATTACCCTTCTCCCAAAAGGGTACATCCTCCTGATATATGACTGTATCTGGCCAGTGCTTATAAGCCTCACAGCCCTATGGTGTTTCATTTCAGGGAGCAATAAATATACACACAAGCACCCATAAATTGCCAGGGCAGCTGTAAAGCAGTCTAGTTGAGGCTGTGCTGCACCTGCTCCACCTTTCTTCTGATCTTCAGCTGGTCCAAGTCTGATTGTCATGTCCGTTTGCTCCCCAGGCAGCAGATGCTGAGCTTCCCGCACCTCCTGCAAACAGTACTGCATATCATCCAAGTGGTCATCAGCTACTTCCTCATGCTCATCTTCATGACTTACAATGGGTACCTCTGCATTGCAGTGGCAGCAGGGGCCGGAACAGGATACTTTCTCTTCAGCTGGAAGAAGGCAGTGGTAGTGGACATCACAGAGCATTGCCATTAATGTCAGACTTCATGGTGTGGCCTTATTGATTGCAGTGGGAAGCAGTTTGAGACTGTAAGACATAATTCCAGCTCCAATCATCCCTTCTTGTTCCTGTCTCTTTACACACACACACACACACACACACACACACACACACACACACACACACACACACACACTGCTGAATAGAGGTTTAGTTTACAGTCTCCAAGGTAAAGTGGTATTTTCCAATAAGCTGAAATTCCCATTTCTCTCAAGAAGAAGCCACCCAAGACGCTGTCTCCTCCTGCATCATCCTAGACCCTGTCTAATCCAGGTAGATTTCTAGTCATTGACTTGATCTTCTACTTCTTTTGAATCTTCTGGGTTTTCTTTTACATAAAATATGTGAATTTGGTCAGGTATTTTTCTGGGTCAGTAATAGGGATTAATTTGAGCCAGGATTGGTGGCAGTTAAGGGACATTCTTGCCAAACTAAACCCAGGACTCAAACTTCACATTAGAAAATAAGCTCTAATCATTGGATTCAGTAAGTGGGACATACATGGTGCCTTTCTCTAGGTGTGGTATGCTGCACGAAAAACGTCATAGTGTGTGAAGGGATGGTTTGAGACTAAATTCAGGCCTAGAGCTTGCAGAGTATGTATTCTTGGGTTGCTCCTACTCATCAACTTGTGTTCCCACTTTACATTTTGATTAGAATGAGCTTGCCAATCAAAAAAATCAATTTGAGAAAACAAATAGAAATTTTTAAATAAAACCATTGGCATTTTACTTTGACTTGGTACCTTGGTTTGTCCCAGCTGAATGAAACAATTATTTTTTCCTATCATTGTTTTCATGTGTCTGCCTCTAAACCAGTGATTTTCAGACTTTAGCATGCATCAGAATTACCTGGAGGGCTTGTTAAAACACTAGTTGCTAGGCCTTAAGCACAGAGCCCCAAACTGGCAGTTCTAAAAGTTCCCAGATTGCTGCTCCTGCTCATGGTCCAGAGGATACTTGGAGAATCTCACTTTAAACTTAACTAAGTGACGCCTGAGGGTGTGAGGGGAGATACCTAGTATTGGGTATAACAATTTGAATTGCTAGTTGGTAGGTAGTATGTCAGGGCATACCTCACAAGGTAAATGCTGATGACCAATACTTAATCATTCCACAAACATTCATTCAGCTCCAGCTCTGTGTATGTGTACCCACACACGAGTGAAGAACTTTAGCCAAAGTACTTTTATCAGCATGTGTGAAGTCACCAGTCCTGATTTTTAAAGATCTGTGGTTTCTTGGAAGTTGTTTGAAGGCAGACAGAGACCTTTGATCTGCAATGTAAAGCAGCCAATCATAGGCCAGAAGGGCAAAAGTTAAGCTTTCTCTTTGGAGAGACTTAGGGTGTGGTTTGCTGATGGCCAGGTTTTCCTCAGTCAGCACCCACGCCCCTGCTAGCCAGAACTTTATCCTCTGCATGACCACCTTTATTACTTTTGGGGACTTTATTAGATCACAAGTGGCCAAAACCTTTTTTCTGAATGAAGAATCACATTGAATTTTTATTCTGTTCAGTTATTAGTCTACACATCAGTCTTATTCCCAAACTACCTCTTTAAAGTGATCCTTCCTGTGCTGGTCTGTTAAATCCTGCCCTCTTTGGTGCTAGATCCAATTGTGCCTCAGGGCAAAGGAGACAAAAGATGCTAGCCAGTTGGCCTGTGTTGTGATTTTGAAGTTTGTACTTTCTCTGTGAATGCCAGTTAAATATTGGAGAGTGAGGAATGTGTACTTCTATGGCTTTGAACCAAGAGAGGGTATGAGCCTACTGAATCCAGGTTAAAATCCAAAAACAACATTTAGAGCTTTGCTTTTCTCTCAATTCACCCCCCCCCCATGCAGTACTGATACTCAGCAGGAACAGAGTGAATGGCAGGTACTGACGTGGCCCAGCATTGAAGTGTAAATAGTCTGTTGTCTCAGAAGTCAAGAAATAATAAAACCATGAGGAATAAATAAAATAAAAAGAAACAACGTTTAGTGGTGACTCTGGTGCTCTCTAGAAATCTCTGCATGAGCTTCTATAAGATACCTTCCAGAGGTTAGGGGTGCAGCTCACAGGTAGAGCACTTGCCTAGCATGTACATACCCCTGGATTCAGTCCCCAGCTCTGTAAAAATAAAACATAAAATAAAATACCTTACAGGAATAGAAACTAAGTAGTGACCTATGAAAAACCAAGGCTATTTTAAGACAAAGTACTATGAATTTACAACTCACAGAAAAGTCTTTGGGTATTCAGGTAGAGATAATATCCTTAAAAATCTGAATCTTAGAGAGCCTTAAGATGAGGTTATCAAAGGATGAGGCTAGTGAAGGAAAAAGTTTCATCTTTCTTGAGCTCTTTGATTATAATAATACAATATCTCATTGACTCATTTTTGTCTCATTTTGGTATCCCTGTTCATTTGGAATTTAATGCCTGACCTCTGAGTTTTTTTTTAATCTAAACTTTTCCTCCTTCCCTGTTCATCTCTTATTAGAAGACTGTGTGTTTCTAATCCCCTTCCTCTGCTGTCTTTTCCTTTTCTGGCTTTCAGTCTTTTATCTCATACAGTCCAGTGTACTAAATCTCCCAACCCTCCTGAGGCAGTGGGCATTGCTGTGCTGGATATAAATCCCAAGCAAAAGTTGGTATTTATAACCTGTTAGAGACCTTAAGTATGCTTCAAGAAGGGCTTGCCTCCACTGAAATTGTGTAAGACTAGGTAGAGAGCTACCTAGTACACTCTTCAGAGTTTCAGAATCTTAGGTGCTGACTCCAGTCTATGATGAAGTAACACTTAACACCCCATTGCCCAAAAATGGGGAATCCTCTAATCAGAAGATTAGAAGGTCTCTTCACTACTCCTGTGATAGGGTTGTCCAGATTTCCCTTTCAGGCTGAGTACTGGGCTTGAGTTCCTGTCACTAGGGGTTCCTTATAAAAGGATCTAGAGGGGGTGGGGCAGGGGGTACACATTCATGTCATTTGATTTTGATCCTGCCCTCTCCAGCTGCTTCTGAAGATACATCTAAAGATACAAAGTCTGCATTTGATATAATGCCTTAATCGCTGGATCGGTGGTTCATGTTGACTGTTTTAGATTGTAAGCTCCTGGAGAGCAGTATTGCAATAGTAGGAATGTTTTAACAGTGTCCTGTGCAAAAGAACAAAATAAATATTTTGACTTTGTGATTCTATGTATGCCTTTCAACCCAGAGTACTATCAGAATAAGCTGGTTTCTTTGCAGAGTGTAGACGTTTTCATTACCGTCAGTTTTAAGATGTCATTGTCTTCATCTTGCTGTCCTACTCTACTTAAAATGCCAGCCAACCTTATACCTGTCAAAAGATCCTCATTACTTTTTGTACAGGAGACAGGGTCTCCGTGAAGCTGCAGGTATTTCAGTATATAGAGAATTCCTGGATTTAAAAGCTAACTTGTGCTACATCATGATCCCTTTCCTGTTTATGCATGAGGCAGAAAGCTCTGGCCTGGCCCTCTGGAAGCTCACTGCTGAATGTGCCTCGAGCACTGGCCCTTTCTATGCCTTTGGTAGGCGCTGGAATGCTGCTGTTACTGCTTTTCCTGCTGGACCCCAGTGGGTGTCCAGCCCTGAGCACCATGCCAGTCTCTTCCTTAGTGTAATGTGGTGAGTGTGGACTTTGAATCAGTTGTTTGAATCTGGGCTCCACTTATTAGCAATGTGACCTTAGGAAAAGTTATTCCAACAATCCCTAAGCCTTAGTTTTCTCATTTATAAAAAGGCAATAATAGCATCTATTTGAATGAGGTAAGGCACACAAAACAGGCATCCAGGCCATAGTATGTTTTTATTGTCTAGTGATTACATTGTTCCTCCAGCCTTCAGGAAAATGAAGGTACCCTCTTCTGGATAAGGTCAGTGTCTCTTTACAAGTACCTGACCAACTTCCTGAGTTTGAGTAATCTGGAAATGAACAGATCCTAAGAAATACAGAATTGATACAAGTGATTTCAGTGTCCCAAAAAAGATTTAACAGTTGTTTATAAGCTCTTATTTACTGATCCTGTAATTGTCTCATTTCTGTTACAGCATGGAAATTTCCTTAGACCTGAAAACAGCAATCTCTCACTTTACCTGACATCCCCCTTACTTGGACTCAGCTGAGGAACACCAAGAAAGCAATGTAGCAAGGAAGTTTAGAAGCATGGGTTCAGAAAGCATACTGCCTGTGTTCAAATCTCATTCCTACCACTTAATCACCGAGCTTTAGTTTCACCTGTTAAAAATTTGACTAACGTACTCCTCTGAGGAGTTAGAATAAGGTGAACTGCATAAAACACTCAGTATATTGTATTAGAAATACAGTATGCTGAGTGTTGACTACAGGTAGGGACAGAGAAGACATTCAGGAGACACCATGTTTTCATACCTAATTCTTGCAGGGGACCTAGTAACAAGGGATAGCACAGAGTCCTGTTCCTCCCTTTGTTTTTCTTTTGCTCTTTCAAGTCTTTGCAGGCTTCATTATAACTTGATTACCCTACCTAGAGCTTAAGTCTTGGGGTTTTTTGTTTTAGAACAGATAACAGAATTGATAAAACTGAAAGAATAAAAGTTTTGTAAGAATGTCTGGAAAGCTGGGTACCGGTGGGTCATGCCTACAATCCTAGCATCTTGAGATCAGAATCATGGTTCGATACCAGCCCAGGAAAATAGTTTGCAATACCCCATCTTCAAAATAATCAGAACAAAATGGACTCGAGGTTGTGACTCAAGCAGTAGAGCACCTGAAGTACAAAGCCCTGAGTTCAATCTCCAGAACCATTAAAAAAAAAAAAATGTCTGGAAAAAGAAGGGAAACTATCCCCTTCTCTCTCCTGCTCCTATATTCATAATACTTAATTGTGAATACTTAATATTACCCAGAAAATCTGGGTAAGACCCAGCTGGGGAGTCTCTTTAGAACTGACAGTTCCAGCCAGGCATGTGGCTGAACACCTGCAATCCTATCTATTTGGGAGACTGAAGAGCATGATTGGAGGCCAGCCCAGGCAAAAAAAATTTCTGAGACCCCATCTCAACAGAAAAACAGGTGAGTGGTGGTACATACCTGTCATCCCAGTTACAGTGGGAAATATAAAATGAGAGGATCGTGATCCAGGCTGGTCTTATCTCTGAAATAAACAGAGCAAAACAAGCTGGAGACATGGCTCAAGCATTGGAGTGCATGCCTTGCAAGCACGAAGCTCTGAGTTCAAACACTAGTAATGCCAAAGCAACAACCTGACAACTCTAGAGGTTGTTACTACCACAGCTGGTATGGTTCCCTATTGTTGAATTTAACAGTGAAGACCGTAGGGCATGATTAAAATTATCCTCTGAGCTGGTCTCAGATGGGTTTCTGTTGGAAAAACTCAGGCAAGTTGAGAAAGAAAAATTGGAATGACCATAATACTGTTTGGAGAATTCATGTTTTGCTCCACTGCCTTCCCAAAATAGTTACAGCCATCCTGTAAACAGATCTAGCACTTAAAACTTTTGTTCAGATTTACACAAAATCACTAGAAAAATCTCCACAAAGGCAGGGATCTTTGTTGATTGGCACATGATAAGCACTCAGTAAATACTTGAAAAAAAGAGTTTCATGAACGTGACAGGGATCAACCAGACGTTATATAATTAGGGTCTCTTAGTCGAGACAGGAAGAATGACGTTACCTCTAGTGGCAATTATCTTTTAAAACCAGAGAGTTTAACAGTGCTACTGTGCTTCCTTAAGGATATCTCACATTTTTCCAAAAATATATTTATTTTTAAAAATGAAAATCAGATAAGCTTTACACAGTCAAATTTTCCAGAGACAAACCACAATTTGGATTCCAGCTTAGCATGAGAGTTGAAGATCAGTAATTTCATACACAAGTTACTTCTTTCTGCAGGAGGTAAAACATTCTGCTTGACTGCAACCACTCAATTCTCTATATCTGATTTGTACATCTGCCATCATTTTATTCCATGCCAGGACTGTGGCATGCAAAAAACTCTGTCACTAAAATTCAAAACTTCCAAACTGAGATGAGCGATTGTTGGGCTTGGGTTGGGGTTTGTAACCAATTCGATCATTAATCATTTGTTCCCGGCTCTTGGGGTCACCACTGAGCCCAATGGCTCCTTCTCCATCACTGCCTCCTACAATGTCCACATCTTCCTTCTGTTTCTTACGGGTCTGAAAGTACAAAAATTTTAGGATTTAAAGCAACATTCTTTTGATTATCAAGTGTTTATTTAGCACTCACCATGTACTAAGCATGGAATAAAGGTGGAGTTAGAGTCTAATAAACAATAAACTGAAATCCTAGGTTTAAGATCGTTACAAGTACGCCAGAATGCCATAGTTTAATAGAGAAATGGAAAAATAGACTGTTACAGCATAGGATGATCAGGGCTATGTCAGAGGGCAGGAAGTCTGCACTGCCAGAGAGACACAAAGAAGAGGTGAGGACTTGGGGGATGTGGTAGAGAGGACTCAGCAGGAAGCTTCAACTGGAAAAACATGGAAGTGTTAGTGTAAGGGGCAGTGAGGTGTTTCAGTAAATATGTTATTCAAGAGAACAAACTGAAAGTAACATGACTGGTAAAACAATAACTGCCAAAAATCCACAGCCTGGCTGACTATGAGACTACAGGTAACACTAGGAGGGCTTATGCTGTCTTATCAAAAGGTCTGAGTTTGGGGGCTTTACTCTGGCTTTTTATTTTCTGAATAGTTAAATTTTCCTTTTTTTATTCTTAGTATTACTACCACAGTTTACAAAACAATAAACGTAATATAATGAAAAGAAAAGCAGCTACAACAGATACAAAACCTTAGTGTACACCCAACTGACACTACACTGCATTAATCAGTAGCTGTGCTTGTTGAAAACTGCTGCGACTGACCTGAACAAGGTTCCCTGTTTAAGCTGCAGTTAGCTTGTAGATTACGAGCCATTATTCTCTCTGTGACAGATTTTTACAGTTCCTCTAATGCACATAAGATGACTGTCTCAAAGTAATGTGCAGTTTTCCTGACACCTCTCTCCCCCCGCTAAGAACGGCAGCCCTATACTGCCTCGTTTAGAACTCTGTGACCATATCCACACCACAAGGACTATGTGAGCTTCTTTGACTAAAATCATGATTCCCAAATCATTATAGTTCCCACCACCACTATAGTTATCCAAAATTTCTACCATTATAACCACAACCTCCACCATCACAATCACCATATCTACTACCCTGGTTTCCATATCCTGGCCCTCTACCAGGATCTCTTCCAGATCACTTACAGCCACCACTGCCTCCTCCATAACTTCCCTACTGCCACCACCTCTACCACCACGGCCTCCTCTTCCACCAGTTTCCACCATGGGCAAAATTAACTTCCACTACTTTCAAAGTTTCTTCCATGACCCAGATCTACCTTCATGGCCTCTGTAATCCAGTGGATTTCATCTCTTGCTTAGAAAGGACTTTTTCCACTTCACAATTATGCCCATTAGCAGTGTGGTGTTTCTGAATAAGAATTTTATGAAATGTGTCATGATCTCTTTTTTTACTCTGTTTTCCATAACTTCTGTTTTCAGTTTTGGCTAAAACTGAAAGTTTATCAAAAATTATACTCTTCTGTACCTTCTTTAATACTGACAAAATCTTCACTGTTAGGCTTACAAACTCTCTCTAGAAACAACTCTTTGGCTCCACTCTACCCCCATCAACCTTGCCTGATCAGTCACATCGTACTGCATCTACCTCTTCAACACCGGACGAAGTCAGAAAACCAAAACCCAAGGAACACTGTGCTGCAGGGCCGCGAGGAGGGAGTGGGGGTAGTGTCTCTCAATACTAGATGATCTGCGAGGGTGCCCCATCTCCCCAAATGTTCTCTTACACTACCATAAGTACTTTCAAAACTCAACCCAATAAAGCCCCACTAATAAAGTCTTCTCAAGTGCTCTGTTTCCTTTCATTTATGACCCTTCTCCTTCCTGTGGCAGCAGCAATGGCTGGTGACCAAACTGTGGTTTTATTGCCATTTTGAGACTGGACCCTTCCAATTCAAATTTAATATGGATGAGAGAAAGAGCCAAGCTTCATTTTGCTTGCAAATAAAAGACTTGGCTCTTAAGTCACAAGTTGAATATAGAATTCAATGTTTGATCGTCTTCAAAAATGAAACTAACACTTCTCCTATAACTACCACCGTAGCCAGGCACCAGTGACTCACTCCTGAAATACTAGCTACTTGAGAGGCTGAGATCAGGAAGATCATGGTTTGAGGCCAGCCTGGGAAAATAGCTTGCAAGACCCCATCTCCAAAATAATGGGAACAAAATGGATTTAGAGGTGTGGTTCAAGAGGTAGAGTGTCTGTTTTACAAGTTCAAACTCCAGTCCTACCAAAAAAAAGAAGCTGGTAATAAGTTTCTTTAAAAGAGTAAACTGAAATTTTATTTGGAGTTCCTTCTAGAACAAATCAAGTACTCCAAGCACTGAAGTACCACCATTCTACACCATGTACTGATGAAATATGAGCATTTAAATACCAACATCAAAGTATTACTGTAAATCAAATATGGTTTCAGTAATCCCTATCTGAAATGGTTGCACAGAAGATTTCTGGTTTCAGAGTTTTCTGATTTGGGAATATTTGCATTGATTAGCATCCCTAATCAAAAATCCAAACTCTATAATGCTCCAAAATCTGACAATTTCTGAAGCTACTTTTTAGGTGACAAATATGACCATCCGGATTACTCTCTTAGCTAGTCTACACTACAAATAAACGACATTAGCAAGTTCTCCCCAAACACCTTTATGAAAACAAGATCTAAAAAGGAAAGGACCCTCTCATTCTCTACCCAGTTGGAATGAGATCAGTTATGTGGCTACACACTAGGAACAACTGCTGACTGTTCCAGAATCTATAGTCACACAAGTGTAATCAAACTAATCTCCATAAAACAAATGAGATACCAGAGCTGGGCGTGGTGACATATGCCTGTGCCAGGACCAGCACTTGGGAGGCCCAGGTCAGAGGATCTCAAGTTCAAGGCCAGCTTGGGCTAAATAAGGAGACCATGTCTTCAAAAACAAGCAAACAAGAAAACCAGTTTCATTTTAGTTTAGGGCAAGACTATCTCTCCTTCCTCAGTTGCTCTAAAACAGGTCAAACCCACTAGATAACTGCCTTTAGTGGAAAAACTGACTTAATAGTGAACTGACTGCAGTCAAAGTTCAGTATGCCAGCATTTTATCAGACTCATTACAACTGAAGTTTAACCATACTTAAAGCTCATACTTAAGCCAGGCACTGGTGGTTCATGCCTGTAATCCTAGCTACTCAGGAGGCAAAGATCAGGAGGATCACGGTTTGAAGCCAGCCCCGGACAAACAGTTTGTGAGATGCTATCTCGAAAAATGCACAACACAAAACGGGGTTGGCAGAGTGGCTAAAGCAGTAAAGCACCTGCCTAACAAACATAAGGCCCTGTTAAAAACCCAGTACTATGATTAAAAAAAAAAAAACCCTCATACTCAATAACACACTATTGATTGTGAGTTGTTAAAAAGCAAAAAATGATGATGCTTGAAGAACACTAAAGTTTGTTAGGAAGAAGAGAAAGAAATCTTAGAAGTATACAGAATACATAGTAAAGTCAATCATTTTTGTGGGTACATGCAAGACATAACAATACAAAATATATACTAGGACAGTTATTGAAAATAGAATTGTGTTGAGCCCACCTTTGGGAACAGATGGCCGAGATCAAAACTTATGGCCCAATGGAAGAAAACAGACACAACACCTGTGAGACAGGTCAGCACAGAAAGAAGAGGGTTAACTTAACACAGCTGGAGGTCAGAAGGAGCTGAGTCAAAAGATAAGGAGTTAACCTGAAGGGCATTTCAGGCAAAGGGAACAGTGTGTATGGGCACTGAAGTTAAAGTTACTGATAACGGCAATAAAAGATAAAGTGGAAAGATGAACAAGGACCAGGTCACAAAAGGCCTCATGTGACATGATAAGGAATTTGAATTTCATTCTGAATGTCACTGAAGAACTTAATTCTTATTAATGAACATCTACTACTGAGTGGCAAAGCACGTTTAAAAACATCTTGAAGCTGGGTGCTGGTGGCTCACGCCTGTAATCCTAGCTACTCAAGAGGCAGAGATCAGGAGGGTCGCCATTCAAAGCCAGCCCAGGCAAATAGTGCACAAACTCTATCTCAAAAATACCCAACACAAAACACGGCTGGCAGAATGGCTCAAGTGGTATACTGCCTGCCTAGCAAGCATGAGGCCCTGAGTTCAAAACCCAGTACTACTAAAAAAAAACCTTGAGCTCCATGGTAGATTGTGGAAACTCAATGAGGAAGAAGACAGACATGAGTTCTGCAATAAAGGCTCCTAACGTAAATGATTTTATAATAAACAAATCATTGAAAATTGTAACATGCTATAAAAAAAAATACAGTGTTTGTCAGTCTAATGAGATGAAGGCCACATGAACACGAAAGACAAATCTAACTTGTTAGGGGCAAAAGAGGCCTCTCACGTCAGGGAGGTGACATTCAAACTAAGACTGGGCCAGAGCAGGAGCACTCCAGACAGAAGGAAGTCATATGTGCAAAGGTCATGGAAGTGACCAACAGTATGGCATGTTCAAAGAAATACAAGCAAGCCAGTATGACCAGAGTATAGCAAATGAGGCAAAGACTGACATGAAGTCAAACTGGACAGAGGTTAGAACACATAAAACCTTACAGACCATGGTAAAGAATGCAGATTTTATTCCAAGTGCAGGAAATCATTGAGGAGTTTTAAAATAGAGGGAAGATATGTTCTGAGAAATTTTAAAGATCATTCTAGATACTTGACTAGACTGGACAGAGAAAAATGGAGGTAGAAAGACCATTTAGAAAGCAACTAAAATTGTACAGGGAGAGATGGTTACTTGGAGTAGGGTTGTAATGGTACAGATCAAAAGGCCTAGCAAGCATGAGGCCCTGAGTTCAAACCCCAGTACCACCAGAAAAAACCCTTGAGCAGCTATTTAGAATCAAAGTACTGACAGACAGAGTGAATACAGAAGGTGAGGAAAAATGAGGTCTCAAGTACCACTGCTAGGTTTCCGGCCTGAGCAACTGGATGGGCACTGAGGGGGCTGACTAGTTTGAGGGGAAAATTGAGAGGTTTTTGTTTTGGTTCGGTTGTGGATTTTTTTTTTTTTTTTGTATGTGTGTGTGGTGCTGGGCCTCACACACCTCACACATTCTAAGGAAGTGCTTTACCACTGAGCTACATTCCCAGCCCTCACACCCCTCCCCACCCCCCAGCCCCGGTCTTTTTTTTTTCTTTTTTTTTAACATATTAAATGTAGTGGACTGAATAATGGCCCCCAAAGCTGTCAAGTCCTAATTCCTGAAACCTGTAAATGTTGCCTTAGATAGGGGAAAAACATGTCTGCAGATAGGATTAGGGATTTTGAGATGGGAGTATTATCCTGGATTGTCCAGGTAAGTCCTCAAGGCATTCACATATATCTTTATCAGAGGGAGGCAGAGGGAGAATTCATACAGGTCACCCATGTGCCCAGGCAACAAGACTGGATTGATGCCGTCATAATCAAGACAACAACTATCCAAAGTTAGAAGAGCAGAGACAGGGAGTGTCTGTGGAGGGTGGGTGCGTGGCCTGCAGACACCTTGATTTCAGCCCAGGGATACTTAGTTCAGACTGTGGCATATAGAACTGTGAAAGGATAAATATCAGTTGTTTTAGGACACCAAGTTTGTACTAGTTTTTACAGCAGTCATAGGAAACTAACACATTAAGTTTGAGATGCTCATAAAACATCCAAACAGAGATCTCAAAAAAAACCACTGGTATAAAAGGCTAAGGTTCAGAAGTCAGCATGATTATTTTAAGCATTTCCTAAGGGGTTGAAAGTTCTACTCTTACCTCTAGGTCCTTTCGGATGCTCTCGAACTCCTCAATATCATCAAGCTTTAGCTCTAGACGTGTTGGTTTTCGTCGCAGCATCCTGAAATCAATACCAAGAGCTACAGCCAGTGAACGATGAGCTGCTAAAAATGACAAAGAAGAAAAGCTGTAGGAAATAAGCCAGCCTCAAGTATAGTATCAATTTGTAAGCATTCTCTGTCTTTGTACTAGGGTTCTAATTCAGCACTCTAGCACTTAAAGCCATTCTGTCAGCCTGAATATGCACTCCTAAGTGAATGAGGTACTAAAATAATTCATTCAGTGCTGGGGCATGGCTCAAGTGGTAAGAGGGGTTGGCCTGGGAAGCTTGAGGCCCTGGGTTCAATCCCCCATACCCACCCCCCAAAAAAAACCCCTCATTTAGATTACATATACACTTGTAAAATCTTTATGTATCTAATTATTACATTTTTATTACATGATAGAGATCTATAACTCTGTAATTCCAAAAAAACTGTTGAAGAACTTAAAATAACAAGCTGCCAAGCAGGAACCAGCAGCTCACACCAGAAATGCCAGCTACTTAGGAGCATGAGATCAGGAGAATCACAGTTCCAGGCCAGCCTGGACAAAAAAAGTTTTCAAGCTCTCATCTCAACAGAAAAAAGCTAGGTGTGGTGGCACACACCTATCATCCCAGTGATTGTGGGAAGTGTGAAGTAGGACTGTGGTCCAGGCCAACCTGGGCACACAGCAAGACCCTATTTCCAAAATGACTAGAGCAAAAAGGGCTGGAAGCTAGAGGCATGGCTCAGCAGCAGAGTGCCTGCCCAGCCAAAGCAAAGTCCTCAGTTCAAATCCCAGTACCACAAAAAAAAAAAAAAAAGCTGCTTATAAAGGGAATTCTAGGCAACAATCATTTTAATCACATGCTCCAGTCATAATCAAGGAAATATGCTAGCTAAAAGAATAAAGAGAACTGGGTGTGGTGGTATGTGACCGGAGTACTAACTACTCAGGAGTTGATTCAGGGGGATCATTTGAGCCCAGGAGTTCGTGGTTTGAGGCCAGCCTGGGGAACACTGACTCAAAAAATAAATAAATAAATAAATGGAATAAAGTTAAGTAGTTAACTAGCACATCTTAATTCAGTATAGTTAGGGGGAGAGTGGACAAGGATATTAAATTTGATCTGCTCCACATGAGAATTATCAGAGATTGTCATCACTCCTGGATGCTAAAATCAGTTTGTTAAACTTCATGAAAACTGTGAACTTACCAATTCACAGGATTGTCTTCAGGATCTAAGTTCTAAACAGAAGAGTCATTTGTTAAGCAAACTCCTCCTGTGCTCCAGCAACAGAGTTAAAAGGCGCAGATGCAATCTGTGGGGAAAACAGACAAGTAAACAGAAGATTACAGAACAGTATGGTGAGAACTATAATCAGGGTAATTCAATGATTATCAAATCAGCATCTGGGCTGGGCTGCATGAAAACTCTAGAAAGCTGGCAAAATTATCCTTATTTTACAAAGAAATTCACATAAGAAGTTCAGTTTGGCTAACAATGTCAGACCCCTATAAAAATGGCTAGAGTAAATGATAATGATGTAAATGAAGGTTCTGTTGAAGTACACAAGCTATACATTATCATTACATGTATCAAGGATAAAGAGACTGTGAAAAGTAGATAAAGAAGCTACAGGGTAAAGCATACAAAGAAGAAATATTTCCTTCTCCCATAAAGGCAGATAAGAGTGATATTATCAACACTGACACATGACATTTCAAATTGCTTTGTACTAAAGCAGATACTATTTTCTACCATGTTCCAATGGAGAAAAAGGGTAGAAGAAGCCAAAGTTCCAAAGGGGCAAGGAAGTGATACTCAAAAGAAAAAACGACTGAGGGCTGGGGCGGGGCTCAAGCAGTAGAGCGTTTTCCCACCAAGAGCAAGTCCTGAATTCAAATCCTAGACCCGCAATGAAAAAAGAAATGGATGAAAGGTTTAACTTTTCTGTAAACTGTGAAAACTGCACCACTAGGAGGCAGTATAGATAATGGCTAAAAGCGCTGGCTCCCAAGGCGAAAGCAGAGGTTCTAATCTCACTACACCAGCGATCTTGAATAATAATCTTCATCTCTCACCAGACCTTAGCTTGTGTCTGCATTCTGTTGTTGTGCGACTTGAATGACGTAATGCAGAGTAAGATCCTGGAATGTCAACTTGACATTTAAAGAATAAGTGCTATTAGAATTGTTCGGGGGCAGGGGGGAAGGTAAGGCTGGGGCATTGGGTTGGGGGTGGTCTGTCAAGCTCGGCAAACTCGAATATTTTGAAAATCTCCCCCGCACACCCTCCATATAGGGGTAAAGACCTTGCCATTTCCATCGCGAAGCCCCAGCAACCAGTGGAGCACAAGGCTGTGCACAGAGAGAGGGCTGCTTGTGAGCATTTCCTTGACGTCTCCCTACCCATCTTCTGGTTCTCGAACTGATTCAAAGAACTGGCTGAAGACAATAACATCAACACAATCAGGCCAAAGCTCCTTCGCCAGGTCTTCGCTTTACTTTGGCGCTAGAGGGCTTTCGGAGCTTCAAGCCTCGCCGCGGCCCTAAACCACCACGAATTCACCCAGCTGGAGCCTCCAGCAGGACTTCCGGACAGTAGAGACCAGCCCCCACTCCCGCAGCTCCAGAGATGCACTCCGGGTCTGGGGCCAGGGTTTCCATGGCAACACGGCCCCCTGCTCCGGGATGCCTGAAGGCCTGTGGTATGCCCGGGACCCTCGATTCAGCCCGGAGCCGCGAGACTCAGAGCACCTACCTTTTTTCAAGCTGTGCTCCTTCCCCGAACGTCGGTTCCCACCATGCTAAGCCACCTGAACTACACTTCCCAGATTGCTCTGCACCTCTCTTCCCGCAGAACCTCGTCTCCCGCGAGCTTTTCTCGGATGCTCTGCGGGCCACGCTCCTCGCGGCGAGCAGAACCTTAGCTACTACTGCTCCCGTCATCCTCCGCGCCGACGGGGAGCCCGGCGTCCGCTCTCGACCCACTTCCGGTCAGTAACGCAAGTTCCGGTTTGTTGAGCGCGCTGTGTGTGCACTTTCTGAAAGCTAGAGCGCGGCTTTCTCTGGGGCCTGTCCGCTCCAGATCCCAGCATGGCTTCCTCACGAACCTCCTCTACGGTACAGAGTTCGGGATGTCGGCCTACGCTGGCAGGAGCGCGGAGAGGGTGGGGGTCCCTGCGGGAAGGGGCCGTTGGAGAGCAGGCTAGGGCGGCGGAGGGCGCCGAGGAGGAAGTCGGCCCGACGACCTGTGCCCTAGAGAGCCTTGATTCAAAGCGCTTTCGTGTGCTGTAGCTCTTTTGCACCTCTCTCATTACAGCCCCGAAGGGTAAACACTTCTTCCTGTTGCTCCAAAAGAACCCAAAAGCGGTGCTTTAAAATGGGGAAAGGTCTTGGTCAAGATTTATGTCCTCAGGATTTTAATGAGGCCGGTCTTACTCCTAATCTACTGACTCTCATTTGAATTGAGATCAGTCACGTTGTAATTTGTTTCCCATCAACACCGCGTTGGTTATTTCGGTTATCCTTGGTATTTCCCCATGGATGAACAGTAAACCCTGAAAGTATAAAACCGAAGAGATTGCAATTCCAGCAGAATGGAGAACACATAAACCACACCTGTGATAGAAAAATCACCAAGAGAACGCCACTAGTTTTAGCAACCTTTTATTTTCTGTCTGTCAAGCTTAAGTGAGACTGAAACCCCCACCCTGACCCCAGCAGATCAGTGAAGAACGTTTTAGCTGGTGTCCGACTTGTCTTTTGTTTGTGGAGGAGGAGTGATTGATGCTCAGGATGAGCTTCATCTTTTGGGAAAGCCCGGTAAACTGCTAAGATTTAAGTTTTATGTTAACCCACGTCTTTGATTTAACAGGCCACCAAAACTAAAGCACCTGATGACTTAGTCGCACCTGTTGTGAAGAAACCACATATCTATTATGGAAGTCTGGAAGAGAAGGAGAGGGAACGTCTGGCCAAAGGAGAGTCTGGGATTTTGGGAAAAGAAGGGCTTAAAGCAGGAATCGAAGCAGGAAATATTAATATAACCTCTGGTAAGGTTGCATCTTTACCTTTTTCTTTTCCTTCCCTGCTGTGTCAAACCCCATGCCCTTGTTCGTGCTAGGCAAACTCTTTACCTCTAAGCTACATCTCAAGTCCTCAGGGATTTTTTGAGACAGGGTCTCCCAACTAGCCATCCTCTTGCCTCTGCCTCCCAAGTGCTGGGACTACAAGCATATCCCACCACACCCAGATCCATCTTTGCCTTTGATGCTCCAATTTGTGCTCTGCCTACCCATCTTAGCAACAGCCAGAGTGTGTTTTTCTTACCTATTGTACAGTTTTTCTTCCATGAATTATTAGTAATTTTATCAAGTACATTCAGTGTGTATTTGGGTTCAAATTGGTTCTGTCTGAATTTGTTCATAATGTTTTCTCTTTAATTTTCCAGTTATTTTCCCCAAATTGGAATCTTTTTTTATTATAAAGGTAATATATATAAAGGTTACTTCTGTTTTAAAAGATCAAACTCTGAATGTATCATGTAGAAAATCTTGTATTTCTTATTTGTTGGTACTGGGATTTAAACTCAGGATTTCACACTTGCTGGGCATGTGCTGTGCCGCTTGAGCCATGCCTGCATGCTGCCCTGTATTTCTTATGAATTGGATGTATATCTTTCTGAGGTTTTTAATTCAGCTATTAAAATACATAATTTTTTCTGTAAATGAACCTGTAATATGTAAATTGTTTTAACCTGCATTTTTTCACTCTGTACACTGTTGAGATTATCTTTCCATGTCAGTAACGAGTTCCACTATATTTTTAAATAAAATTATGCATGTTTGTCATAAGAAATTCAAGCAGAGCTGGGCACCTGTAGCTCACCTATAACCCTAGCTACTGAGGAGGCAGAGATCAGGAGGATTATGGTTCAAGGCCAGCTCAGGCAAATAGTTCATTTGACTCCTATCTCCACAATACCTAGAGCAAAATGGACTAGAGATGTGACTCAAGTGATAGATCACTTGCTTTGCAAGCATGAAGCCCTAGTTCAAACCCCAGCCCCACCAAAAAAAAAGGAAAAAGAAATTCAAGCAGTACATAAGGGTAGAAAATTAAAATTACTCTGCAGAAAGGACTTTGTCAGGTTTCCCATTTGCCTCCCCATACACATTTCTTCTGTACACATACACATTAGTCTAGTGACTTTCCTAACCTTTATGTTGTCTTTAAGCCTGCGTTACCACAATGCTTCTCGTTTTTCATCAAGTTATATGTATTTGGTGTGAGTTTTAAACCTAGTTGCTAAGTAATCCAAAAAGCCTTCTAGTCTTGGGAGTCTCATTTTCCTGGTAACTGTTTCCCAATTTACTAGTTCCTTCACTGGGGACTATTTCAGTAAATAGCTTGATACTTGTTTAAATAAGAGTTCTGTTTCACCATCTGAATAAAAGACCTAGTTAACTGATTTGCTAAAAATGTTCTGCACTCTTTTTTTTTTTTCTTTTTTTTTTTTTTGGTTACGTGGATTTGAACTCAGGGCTTCATGCTCTCTCCTTCTTGAACCATGCCTCCAGTCCTTTTTTTTTTTCTCTCTAGTCTTGTGATCTATTTACCTAAGCTGACCTCAAACCTCAGTTCTCCCAATCTCAGCCTCCCAAGTAGATAGGGTGACAGACATGAGCCACCAGTGCCCAGCTGCATTCTGACTCTCTAATCTCACCTAGGTCATGTGTATATATAGGTTTAAGTGAAATAATAGGTGGCTTGAACCTTTTTCCTGCCTTAATTTTAAATCTGTTATTTGGGTTGCTACTTGGCAGAATTTAATAAATTGTAAACAGTGAACTGTATCTATAAAATGTGTAATATATCGTATTAGACAGTTGCCTTTCCCTGGGGTCGTATAGGCTCCAGTTGTTAGAAATTATTTAGTTCCCCCTGTTTGGAGAAAATGTGATTATACTGATGTTACCTATTCTTTTTATAGGAGAGGTATTTGAAATTGAAGAGCATATCAGTGAACGACAGGCAGAAGTATTGGCTGAATTTGAGAGAAGGAAGCGGGCCAGGCAAATCAACGTTTCCACAGATGACTCAGAGGTCAAGGCTTGCCTTAGAGCCTTGGGGGAACCCATCACACTTTTTGGAGAGGGCCCTGCTGAAAGAAGAGAAAGGTGCTATTTCTAAATGTTCACTCTTTTCTTTATTAATTCAAGGTTCTCATTCCAAATCCACTTAATCATCTAGCTGAAACTTAGGATTTCACATAGTATTGAGTTGTATTTATATAGTTTAGCCCAAATTTTTCTCCACTATTAATTTTTTTTTCTTTTTGGTTTATTTATTCATATGTGCATACATTGTTTGGGCCATCTCTTCCCCCACCCCCCTCGCTTCTAGACAGAACCTGTTCTGCCCTCTTCTCCAATTTTGTTGAAGAGAAGACATAGAGATAATAAGAAAGACATAGTGTTTTTGCTAGTTTGAGATAAAGGTAGTTATCCTTGAGATAAGGAAGTAGTGAAGAGGTCTGGTAGAGGTGAACCCATTCCAGTTGTAATACACATGTGCATGGAAGCAATGCTAGGAATCTCTCTATATAGCTATCCTTATCCACTATTAATTTTTCTTTATGGACTTTGAAGAGAATGCCAGCATATTTCTTTCCCACCCTAGTGTGAAGTTTTGAGTTGTGTAATCATTGGTTGTTGACCTTTGAAAATTTAGATGTCAAGTGCATTCCATGTCAGTAGCTTGAAACATAATAAATGAGGCAGGTGTGGTGATGCACACCCACTTTGGGGTAGGAGGATCTCAGTCCAGGGTCAGCCTGGGCAAAAGCGAGAGATCCTATCTGAAAAGTAGACTAAAGTGAAAGAACTGGGAGCCTGGCTCAAGTGGTAGAGTGTGTGATTGCCCCTCATTCAAATCCTGAGGTCAATCCCCAGTACTTTAAAAAAAAAAAAAAAAGATGATTTTTGGGTCTAACTGAAGAGCGGCACTGTCCTCAGGCAATGCTCTTGTGATTTTAAGGTTGCAAAATGTCTTAGCGATGGGCTAGTCATATGCAACTGTGGGAACACCCCCCCCAACCCCCACCTCCATCTGTGTATCCAAATAGAACCATCTCTGTCTCCTTACCGAGTTTCTTGGAAAAATACTTTATATTTACTCTCTTAAATTCTTATAAGACCAAATCCTTCTGATTTCTCCTGTCTCCCTAGCTCATTCTCACTTTCTAAGTCTCTTTTTTTCTTTTTTTTTCCTTGCCTAGCCTTTATAGGCTACAGTTCTTTGCCTTTACTCTGTGCTTACCCTGGGTAATCAGATACACTCCCATGGCATCATTTCCTATGTACATTCTGCTGATTCTCAAATCTCTTTGTGGCCTAAGCATCCACAGGTACTTTAAACTTCAGACATCTGAATTAAAATGTGTGTGCCACCCCTTTCCTAGTCACCTTGTAAATGGCATACCATTCACATAATTATTGGTTGAAAACCTGTCTTACACTAGGCATGTTAGTGCATATCTATACTCTCAGCTACTGGAGAGGCAGATATAGGAGGATCACAGTTCAAGGCCAGCCCAGGCAAAAGGTTCTCGAGACCCTATCTCAAAAACAAGCTGAGCATAGTGGTACACATCTGTGATCCCCACTACTAAGGAAGCAGAGGTAGGAGGATTGCAGTCCGAGGTTAGCCAACACAAAAGTATGAGACCCTACATAAAAAACTAAAAGCAAAAGGACTGGGGATATGCCTCAAGTGGTAGGGTGCCTGCCTAACCTACCTTACCTCCTTTGTTACCTGTCAGCAAAGTCTGGTCTTTGTGTGTAATGTACCTCCAGTCTGTTTTTGCTGTATTTCCATTCCTTTCATATCTAGACTGTTGTGATGTTTATTGCTTGCTTCAAATCCTACAGTGAGGGCTGGTGGAGTGGCTCAAGTGGTAAATCACCTGCCTAGCAAGCGTGAGGCCCCAAGTTCAAACACCAGCTCTGCCAAAAAAAAAAAAAAATCCTATAGTGTCTGAGGTTGGTGGTAATAGCACAATGGTAGAGTCTTTACACAATATGCAAAAGGCCATGAGTTCGATCCCCAACACCACAAAAAAAGAAAAGGAAATTCTGCAGTGTCTTCTCATGATCTCTGAGGTCTTCATTGTGCCTCTCTTCCCAGTTTATTACACATTGTTCTTCCTGAACACTCAAGTTCTTTCTGTCTTACCACTTGATTTTTCTCTTTTTGTTTCTCCCTTACCTTTCAGTGCCTTTTTATTCTTTTGTTTCAGCATAAACACCACCTGTTCAAAGAAGCCTTTCCATACCTGACCCCTTACAAAGAAAGTCCCTCTGTTATTATCTGTCAAAGTTTGTTATTTCCTTCCTTGCCTTTTCAAAGGATATACTTTTACTTACTGTTTATCATTTGTTTTCTCCACCAGCAAAGTCTTTCTTATTTCATTATTATGTGCTTTAGATGACTGCATTGAACCCACCATTATGACTCAGGATTTCTACAACATTATGCAATCTTGATTTCCCAGCCTTTGTTCTCCCTCTTTCATCCAGTCTCCATACTTTCCTACCTGTTCCGTTTCTTGAGGGTTTGAACTCAGCTTCATGCTTACAAAGCAGGCACTCTAGCACTTGAGCCATGCCTCCAGCCTGTTTTGCTCTGGTTATGTAGGAAATGGGATCTGGTGAACTATTTGCCTGGGCTAGCTTCGAACCTACATCCTCTCCATGTCAGCCTCTCAAGTACCCAGGATTGCAGGTGTGAGACACAGCACCCAGCTATAAGTATCACATAAACCCTTCTTAGTGTAACATTAACAGCTGTTTGTGACTTGGCCCCTCCTTAAATTTCCAGTCTTATCTTTCACCAGTCCTTCCCCCTCCCTCCATACTAGGCTTGAACTCAGGGTCTACTCCACCAGTCCTTTTTTGTGATAGGGTTTTTTTTCAAGATAGGGTCTCCCAAACTATTTGCCAGGGCTGGCTTCAAACCATGATCCTCCTGAGTAGCTAGGATTACAGGCATGAGACACCGGTGCCTGGCTCTCACCTATCCTCTTCTTGTACTGCTTACTCCATTTGTACTTAACTATTTTATTCCAAGCTCAACTTTTTTTTTTTTTTTTTTTTTTTAATGGCACTAGGGTTTGAACTCAGGGCATCACACTTGCTAGTCAGGTACTCTTAACACTTGAGCCACTCCTCCAGCCCTTTTTTGTGATGGGCTCACATCACTCTGCTCACTGCTGTCAAACTTAATATAATGTACTATAGCTCCCTGTTACTTTCTGCCTTCTCTTCAGAACTGTTCATCATCACTGTATACGTAGCACCTGAATCAGGATCCCACACATTGTGGCATTTAGTGCTATCTGGCTGTCTATGTAGCCAAAGCAGTAGCAGTGCATGGTCTAGCTGACATGGTCCAGTTCTCTTGATCTCTGACTCCTAAGTAGCTGGGATTGCATGTATGAGCCACCACATCTACCCCCTACCAACTTGATTTTTAAGGAAGATTTCTAGAGGTTTGAGTGGTAAGAGAGTAGTAGATGCACAGTACTTCCCCTTGACCTGTGGTTTGCTTTCCACAGTTTCAGTTATGTATAATCATCTATGATCCAAAAATATATTGAGTAGAAAATGCCAGAAATAGACAGTTTATAAGTGTTAGCTTGCTTACCGATGTAAGTAGTGTGCTGAGTCTTGCTCTGTCCCACCCAGAAGAGAATCATCCATTGCCCCGCATACCCACACCTCAGCTAACTTGAAGAAACACATGTATCTCTCGAAAGAAAACCATCTGTCTTAGAACCAGGAGCTTCTACCACATTGTTTCCCTGTAGAATTCGGTTAGTTTTTTAAAGGAATACTTCCTGGAACTTAGGTGGTTCAAGGGGGAGATAGACTCTATTTGCTCCCTTAAGGCATATATTCTGTCTGTACACTGGTACATGCAGAACAATAAAATGTTTTGAGAAAGAAAACAAGCCGCATTCACGTAACTTTAGTATAAATGTTATATTTGTTCTATTTTGTTGTTGTTACTGATCTCTTATTGTGTCTAGTTTATAAATTTAAACTTTATCATAAGTATGTATGAATAGGGAAAAAACACGGTATATGTAAAGTTTGGTGCTCCCTGAGGCTTTAGACATTCACTGGAGATTAGAAATGTATCCCCCGAATATGGCAGGAATGAACTACTATCATTTTTGATACTTTTATCTCAACCGTATTTATATTCTGATCTTTTAATTACAGGTTAAGAAATATCCTCTCAGTGGTTGGTACTGATGCACTAAAAAAGACCAAAAAAGATGATGAGAAATCTAAGAAGTCCAAAGAAGAGGTAGGATATGTCTTTGGCTTCACAGTGTGAACATGAAAGTAACGATGGGATAGTCTTCCCATTCTGTTTTCAGTAGCTTTCTTTCAGGGTGAGGAGCAAGCATCTTTGTAACTCTGACATCCAGGAGTGGTTGTTGAGAGTAGTTTTTGATTCTTGTGCGAATATGGTATAAGTGAATAGGTGAATATAAATGAGATTTCCATTCAGGAAAGAACCATAGCATTCTTGGCATAACATAACAAGAAACCATCTAATAAGACATCATAGAACAATATGATCCTATACCTTAAAGACCCAAAAAACTCTACTCAGAAGCTCCTAGACATCAGGTTGAAATAAAAGTATCAAAATGATACTTAGCCTGGTAGGAAAAAGGGTTGGGGGGTGGTAGTAAGGAATGGGGCACAGGGAAGTGGGGGAGAAATGACCCAAACATTGTATGCGCATATGAATAAAAGAAGGAAAAAAAAAAAAAGACATCCTAGAAAAAAATACAGTAGAGAGCACACATGCCTGGCTGGCTTCACCCTATTACCGAAGTAATTGATCTTCGGTAGTTACAATACCAAATAATTGTAGGTAATTACATTAGAGAATTGACAGCTGTGGGAGGGGCAAGCATGCTTCAGCCTTAACATTTCTGCTGTAAATTTGCCTTTCAGTATCAGCAAACCTGGTACCATGAAGGACCAAACAGCCTGAAGGTGGCTAGATTGTGGATTGCTAATTATTCACTGCCCAGGTAAGCAGAGCATCTAGAAAAAAGAAGCTTTTTATTTTTTTTTTTTTCTTGTTTTCATTTAGGGACTGAGAATGGGCTTTATAAAGATGGTGGTGCTTACATGGAATTGAGTGGTAGAGACCTGTGCAGACCCTGTTGACAACCCTATTACTCCTCGTAACAGTGTTTCTGTGTCACAGGGCAATGAAACGTTTGGAAGAGGCCCGTCTCCATAAAGAGATTCCTGAGACAACTAGGACCTCCCAGATGCAAGAGCTGCACAAATCTCTCCGGGTAAGACACTTTCAGCAATTGCCTGGTATATTCGTAGGTTTTCTATTTTGGCCACCCAGAAGTAGGTAAAGGCAGCCACAGTTACTCCTCCCAGATGAAGCTGTTATGTGTGATAGGGGGGGCGCTGTAAGTCACCTATGCTTTGTACTCAGCGAATGCCAGTGGGCCTACTCTTGACTTTTCCCTTTTAATGTAATATGCTATAGCTCTGCTTTAGATTTCTCTCTGGCTTTCTATTTATAGTTAGCTGACTCAGAAGCTAGTGATAATAAGACTGTGGAAAACATTTGGAGTTCTAGATAAGCCACAATTGCATTCATTCAACAGTAGTGTGTCTTCACAACATAAGTATCAGTCTTGCCAGATGCCAGTGGCTCACACCTGTAATGCTAGGTACTCAGGAGGCAGAGATCAGGAGGATCAAGGTTTGAGGCCAGCTTGAGTAAATAGTTCTTGAGACCCTGTCTCAAAAAAACCCAACACAAAAAGGCTGGTGGAGTGACTCAAGTAGTAGAGTGTCTGCCTAGCAATTGTGAGGCCCTGAGTTCAAGCCCCAGTGTCACCAAAATAAATATATCACACACACACACACACACACACACACACACACACACACACACACACACACGAAGAGTCTTGGTGTCGATTAAAGCTGGAAGGCTGCTTTTTTTTTTTTTCTAATGGTAGAGAAGTCAAGTTAATGATTAATCATCATTTCTTTCTCTCTTTTTTTTTTTAAGTCTTTGAATAATTTCTGCAGCCAGATTGGGGATGATCGGCCTATCTCCTATTGTCATTTTAGTCCCAATTCCAAAATGCTGGCCACAGCCTGTTGGTAAGTTTCATTTTCTTTAATGGTGGGTGGGTGGTTTCAGGGGAAAAAAATTAGCATTTGCCTTAGATGTCTAGTGTCTAGTTCTACATTTCCTCTTCTCCATGAATCAGCTGCTAGGGCTCTCTCCACTGTGTGATACAACCGAGCCTCTGATTGCAGGCCTTCATGTTCCCACGGCCCCCAGAGATGCATGACATGCAGCTTATCTGTCATGTTCTTCACACTGGGGTTTTAGAGCAGGTCATATAGTCAATTTATAGACCAAGTAGTAACCACACCTCAGTGTAGCTTTTCTTTTTAGTTCTGTGACCTAGCTAAGATACGTAACCCGTTTATGCTGCGGTGTCCTTGTTTCTAAGGTGTGCTGAGGTACTATTTAGAAAGCTTTTTGCCTTGATAGTGCCTCGTGTGTGGTAAGAATCAGTAAATGTTAATTACCAGTTTTATCTTTTTTTCTTACTTCTCATGACATGCAGAAAACTCTTAGGATGTGATAACTTGTTTCATTGTGGTTTTGCTTTTTTATGGACCATAGCTGTCTAGTGAGGAGAAACTTACATTGAGTGCACAGGAACTACTTGATGAGGCAGAAATTGAGACTGGTTTAGGAGAAAGCTAAGAACTATGCAAAGCCCTCCATCTCTCCAAGCCTAACTGTAAAGTAGAACGGTCGTCCTGCTCGCTCCACCTCACAGCTCTGTTGTAAAGATCCTTTGAAGTTTTCCAAAATGAAAAGTCTTTTTCAAAAATTTAAGTACTTTGTAGACAGCAAAATGCTGTTTGAATATAAGATAAAATCTTTTTGGAGTTTGGAGACAGAGGCAGAGTCTAGCTCAGGCTGGCCTTGAACTTGTAATCCTCCTGTTTTCTACCTCGTAGTGCTGGAATTGCAAGCATGAGTTACCATGCCTGGCAGCACTGTTACTAATATATAATAATAGTCTAATTTGTCCTGCCTTCCCTCACAAATTGATCCAAAAGTAAGGAGAACAGCTTTGTTGTAGTCCAGTAGAGGCCTCTGGTTGCCTGAGATGAGACCTGGCTATCACAACCTCTTCTAGAACCCTTCAAATTAGAGTCTTTTTCTGTCTGCCGCTGCAAAGTGGATTGGGGAAGAAGAAATTGTCCTCTAGTGATGTTACCAAGGTACCTTTCCCTTCCCAGACCAGCCCTGGCTGAGATGCTTTCCTTTGTATTTGATAGGAGTGGGCTTTGCAAGCTCTGGTCTGTTCCCGACTGCAACCCCCTGCACACTCTCCGAGGTGAGTTAAAGCCTCGCCTCAGCCTCAATCTCCTCCCCATGAGCTCCAACTGACGCTATGGCCCAGTCCCCACAGGATTGAGTCTCAACTTGATTTGACACGACTCCACATGCATACAGTTTTGTTCTTAGGTCCAGCCACACTCTGGAACTGTATAATATCCAAGCCAAAAAACACAAAGGTTTTGTGGGGGTTTTTTGTTTTGTTTTGTTTTTCTTTTCATTTTTCAAGATAAGGTCTTGCTGTGGTTCCAAGGCTAGCCTTGAACTCATGAATCTCCTGCCTCAGCCTTCTGAGTATGTGTGCTAGGATAACAGCTCTGCACCACCACACCCAGCTTCTACTTTTTTTTTTTTTAATATAATTCAAATACTCATTTTAAACAATTCATTTTTAATAGCTGGATAGTCACTTTACTACTCTATATTACCACACGTTTCCTAATGTATACTTATCATGAGTCTGTATTTTGTACTTAGGTTATAAAAAGAAAACCTTTTTTTTTTTTTTTTTTTTTTTTTTTTGGTGGTGGTGCTGGAGTTTGAGCTCAGAGCCTCATGCTTGCTAGGCAAGTGCTTTTATCGCCCTTTTTTGGTGATGAGTTTTTTGTTTTGTTTTGTTTTTTTTAGATAGGGTCTTCAAATTAATTGCCCAGGGCTGGCTTCAAACCAAATCCTCCTGATCTCTGCCTCCTGAGTAGCTAGGATTGAGCCACTAGCGCCTGGCGACAAGAACCCTTTAACTTCCATCTCTTACAATCCTTTAGGCCATAATACAAATGTAGGAGCAATTGTATTCCATCCCAAGTCTACTGTCTCATTGGACCAAAAAGACGTTAACCTGGCATCTTGTGCTGCTGATGGTTCTGTGAAACTTTGGAGTCTTGACAGGTGAGCATTACCACTCTCCAGTCCATATTAAAGGAGATAGGTAATTGATTGGCCTCGGCACCTCAAGGTTAGAAATCTGATATTTAACCCCACAGATACTCTAAGAGTCATTGTAACTGATTGTGAAAATAGAATGGAAGATTTCTTCCTTAGATCTATTCTCACCAGAGGAGTTATGCCAAGCTTTTCTTATTTGTTAACTTTGGACCTCAATTTTTGCCTCTAACACAGCAGCCACTATTTCCTGGCTCCAGTTTTTCTGGAAAGATCTATCCTACCTCCTCCTGCACAGTAGGTTAATGTTGTAGAAATGCATTGTTTGGAAGATGGACTGCAGATAAGTCTTAGCAGTCCATTGGGCCTTAGCATACTGCCACAGGGGAGAGGGAAGAGAGGTTCTGTCTGGCAGTACTGCCAAGGACATGCTGTCTTCTCCCATTGGCATCATCTTTTACCTAGGATATATCTTCCAACTACAGGTTCTTGTGTCTTAATGTGCTTATTGTTACTAGGCCCTCTGAACTTTTGGAAGCACCTTGTTGGCTAATAGACATCTGAGTTCAATTGCTTAGTTTTCTTTTTTAGGGAAAGCACAGGAAGGTTTTTATTTCAATTTTTTTTTAAAGAACTAATTAGTATCTCCACTCTTTGCTAGATGGATTCTCACCTACAAGCACAACAAGTTTTAATTGGCTTTGGAAATACTTAGTAATGGCTAGTCCCCTAGGGCTCTGGTTAGCTCTGTGTACACACACTGACAGAGCTTCCTTTTTAATTGCCCTCTTCAGGGTTCATGTTTATTTCCATTCTCTGGGGTTTCAGACCTTTCTGTTGTTGCTGGGGAGCAGAATTTAATGACCATCTAAAGGAGGCTAAGTTTCTCTACTTAGGAGTTCCTTTTTCCATTCGGATCCTTGAAGAGGCTAAGACTTGAGAAAGATTATCTGTAACCCACTTGTACCAAAATTGTTTGATTTCTGAGTCTTCACATGGCTTCCAAAGTATCTTTTCTTCTTAGAATCCAAGCACTACTTTGATACACAGTGACTAGTTTGCTTATCAGACTAAAGTATCTTATTTTTCTCTAATCCCACATGATATAGCATGAAGAGTTTAATAACACAATGAATTGAGATAATGGTCAGAACTGGAGGAGTGGCTCAAGCGGTAGAGCGCCTGCTTTGCAAGCAAGAAGCCCTGAGTTCAAACCCCAGTTCCACCAAAAAAAAAAAGAGATAATGGTCAGTTTGCTCTGTGGGTACACAGAATAGTCCCACATCTGCACAACAATAAATAAATACAATGAATATTTACATGCCTATAATAATATTTAAGTCTTGTATATGCATGGTTCTTTTCAGCGATGAGCCAGTGGCAGATATTGAAGGTCATACAGTGCGTGTGGCCCGAGTAATGTGGCATCCATCAGGACGTTTCCTGGGGACCACCTGGTAAGCCATCCTGCCGACTCCAGTTCATACAGGCCTCTGGCAGTTTGTTCATCCTTTTCTGTTATCTGCCAGGTCATTTTCAGAGCAGAGCTCCTCAAGTAGGATTTTCTTTAACTTGAGTGAATAGGACTCAGAAGAGAGTATGTAATATAGTCAGAGGTATGGGTACTTGCTTTCAAGTCACAGTGAGTGACTTAGAGGAGGTTTGGTTTTGGTTTTGGTTTTTGCTACATATTATATTAAAAATCTTGAAGCTGGGTGTGATGATGCCCTTTGTAATCCCAGCACTCAGGAGGCTGAGGCAGGAGGATCACGAGTTCAAGGCCAGCTACATAGTGAGATCCTGTCAAAACAAAACAAAAAATAAGTAAATAAAATCAGTCTACCAACAAATTGGTTGCCTTTTCTGGTTTGGTAAGTTCAGAGGCTAGGCTATGCTAAAGAACTTTTTCTTTGAGGCATAATTAACATACAGTGGAATGGGTTTATTTTAATGTACAATTCAGTCTTCACAAATGCATACTACCTGTGTGACTCACGCCTCATCAATACAGAGACCATTTCTATCACCCAAGAAAATTCTCTCAGGCCCCTCCTAATCAGCTAACACAACCACTACCTGATTTCTATCACTGTGAGTTAATTCTGTCTATTCATACTGCGTAAACTCATTTGTGTCTCAATTCTTCTACTCAGGAACATCATTTAAGATTCATTTGTGTTGTTGCACTTGTCAACTGTTCCTGTTTATTGCTAAGGAATAGTCTTGTGTGTATGCCACAGTGAATCCATTCCAGAATAAAGCTGCTATAAATGTTCTTGTACAAGGATTTTTACAGATAGATGTTTTTCTTTCCTTTCTCTTCAGTAAGTACCTAGGAGTGTAATTGCTAGTTTATAGAGTAGATGTATATTTAATTTTTTTAAAACTTCCAAGCAAGCTGGGCATGGTGGTACACAGCTGTAATCCCAGCACTTGGGATGTCCTGGCAGGAAGATAAAGAGTTCAAGGCCAGCCTGGACTACATAATGAGACCCTGTCTCAAAAAAACAAACTTCCAAACGGCTTTTCAGAGTGTTTGTACCATAAAACTTTCCCAGAGTTCTGGCTGCTTTGCTTCACATCCCTGTCAACATTTGGTGTTATCAATCTTATTATTTTGCCCAATGTAGCAAATGTGTAGTGATGTCTTATGTTTTTAATTCTTAATGCCCTGATGACTATTGGTATTAAGTACTTGCTTATATATTTACAAATCATTTACATATGCAGTGTCCATTGCGTTGCCCTTTTTTTTTTTTTAATTGAGTTTGTCTTTTTTGTCTTTATTTCCTTTTGCAAAGCCATCCTACTACCATTATTGAAGTACATTTCTCTTTTCTCTGTTGACACTGTTTTAGTGCCTTGTTGAAAACATTTGACTGTATTTGGGTCTGTTTCTGTACTTTTGTTCTATTCATTTGTTTGTCTATTTGTTTTTTTATCCCAACATTCAATTCAGGGCCCAGTAAATATACAGATACTCTATGAATGAAGGGAAGTAACAATACAGTGAGGGAGGGAAAAAGGCAGCATAATCTTTGCTGGGCCATTCTTAGGAAAATTAGGAGGAGGGGAGTCATTCTGTTTTTGTGGCGCTGGGCAAGCCCTCTACCACTGAGCCCCACTACCACTCCTGGAATTCAGTTCTAAAAATAGTTACTGGATTAGATTTACAGCATGTACTTAGTTTCTGAGTCAGCATCCAAGACAGATAGGCTTAGTTGGTAAGGAACTGTTTATACCAGAAAGGAATTTCTTGTTAATGTGGTAGAAGGAGTAGTTTTAGAAGTACAAGCTAAGCTGCAATTACAGTACCTTCTACATTGTAGAAACTGAATCAGTCTGCTGTGTGACTTTTTTTTTTTTTTTTAAGCTATGACCGTTCGTGGCGCTTATGGGATTTGGAGGCTCAAGAAGAGATCCTGCATCAGGAAGGTCACAGCATGGGTGTATATGACATTGCCTTCCATCAAGATGGCTCTTTGGCTGGCACTGGGTAAGGCTTCTTCCACAAAGCCAGCGATGGCGCAGTAGTCTCACTTCTTACATGTGCTTGCTTCCACAAAGAACTGCATTCAGAGTGTTCATTTATGTATTCTTTCATCAGGGGACTGGATGCATTTGGTCGAGTTTGGGACCTGCGCACAGGACGTTGTATCATGTTCCTAGAAGGCCACCTGAAGGAAATCTATGGAATAAATTTCTCCCCCAATGGGTAAAGTGAACTCACTGAATGGGGATGGAAATGGTTCTTGGTCAGATAGCACTCCTTGTTCCTAACTTCGATACTCCTTCTGATCCACAGCTACCACATTGCAACTGGCAGTGGTGACAATACCTGCAAAGTGTGGGACCTTCGACAGCGGCGTTGCGTCTATACTATCCCTGCCCATCAGAATTTAGTGACTGGTGTCAAGTTTGAGCGTAAGCTTTCCTCCTGATCTCAGCCTCAACACAATCAGGGACTGTGCTTCTGTGGATTGCAGGCTAGGCCGTAGCTTAACTTAAACGTGGAACTGGAGAGAATTTGACCTCTGTTAAAGGAACAAATTATAATTTCCTTCCTTCAACCATACCCTTAGAGAGAACTATGGCAAAATATGCTTCTTGTTGCCAGGAAGTAAAGACTTCCATGAATGCTTTGTGTCATTCTTTCCTCCATGGACATTCTAAGCACCAAATCCTTAAAATTACTCTGAATCATTCATCTTCCAGGAGAAGAATCAGAAGACCTTCATAATGTTACTTGTTCTCCTCAGTCTGTCTGTGGCCTAGTAGGAATATAGGGTCAGTGTATTTGGGTTTTTCTGAATGTGGAAATAACTTCTTTTGCAATATAATGTTTTGGCAGATTTTTGTGCTTTTATTTTCTTAAGCTCTTTGGAATACTTGAATTCTTCAATCATCTCCCTTTTCTCCCGTAGCTATCCATGGGAACTTCTTGCTCACTGGTGCCTATGATAACACAGCCAAGATCTGGACCCACCCAGGCTGGTCCCCACTGAAGACGCTGGCTGGCCACGAAGGCAAAGTGATGGGCCTAGACATTTCTTCTGATGGGCAGCTTATAGCCACTTGCTCATATGACAGGACCTTCAAGCTCTGGATGGCTGAGTAGGCAAAACCATGGAAGAACAACTCTAACCTCAAACTCTCTCTTAGGAACAATTTTCCTCAAACCAAAAGAACTGATGTTTTGTTTTATCATGTTTTCTATCAATTACCATGTATAGACCCTCATTAGAATTTGATTTTCATAATAGGTGTAGTGGTGCACATCCATAATCCTAGCACTTGGAGCCTGAGGCAAGAAGATCACAAGTTCAAGGCCAGCTTGGGCTACATAGTGAGATCCTGTCTCAAAAAAAAAAAGAAAAAAATTGGATTTTCATGTCAGCCCGACTCCCAAGCAGGAAGTCAAGTCCCAAGGTGATGGTGAACACTTTTCATGGTTTAAAACCTAATTCTCATTTTTAGGTTCTGCCATGAACTATGTAGACATTGTTTTGATTAATCTTTTGTCTGAATACCCTCTTGCCTCCCTTATAGCAGTCAGGATTGAGACTGCTCTTTGCATTTTTAATTCTTGAAACTTGGCATTCCATAACATGGTATGTGCTTCAGGACTTCATGGGATCCAACGAGCAAGGTGACTGGACTGTATTTTAGAAGCCCTCAAGTTAAGAGGGCTTCTCACCACGCATTGGTTGAACAATGCCTGACAGCAAGCCCCTTTCTTCTCCCTCTCCCTTGAGACTGTGAAGCCATAGGCCACAGCTATGCAGTAAAGATTTGCCCTCTTCCTGTGGCGTTCACTTGGAGTGCTAACTGCATCCGGAAACAACTCAGAACAAACATTCACTTGTCAGAAACTGTCTTCCATTTTGCTTTGAAGTTTGGCATCCTTCGTGTTACCCTAAAGCAAGGCCATGGTGTTCAAAAGCAGACACGATGTCTATTTGTCTGTTGTCTACAGCATCTTTTCCATTGGTTATTTAAAGGATGTGTACTTCATGTATTAAAGGATACTTCATGTTGGAGTAACTGGGAAAAAATCCTATTTTCCCATTCCTAAACATAAACCTTTTTTCTTTACTATACACTTGCTAAGAGTAAAATCTTATTATAAAAACTCCTTTAGAAATTACTTTCCACAGCTGAGGCTGTGGCTCAAGTGGTAGAGCACTTGCCTAGCAAGTGCGAAAACCTGAGTTCAAACCCCAGTTTGGAAAACAAAAAACTGTAGTTAAACATTTTCTGAATCCTAACTCTTGGTCCAAGAGGTCTCTCTTTATGGTTTGGGATTTCAGATATGAACTGTTTCACTTTCTGTCTCCTTGATAAACCCTGTTAACACTTTTTTTGAGATAGGCTCTCACTAGGTAGCCTAGCCTGGTCTCAAACTCCCAATCCTTCCTCAGCCCTCTAAGTGATGGAATTACAGCTGTGCACATCAGCTGTAAGGCCTGTTGCCCTTTGTGGCCCATGCTACCTGTGAGCTGTTTGTGGGCTCAGTGATTGTTTCTCACTGGTCACACCGTGACTGCGTTCACCTTCCCACCCACTGCTAGGCTCTGAAATTACACAGTAAATTCACAGAAAAAGAAATTTGGAAGAAGAAGAAAGGGTTGCGTATAGAAGAGAATTAAACAAGGGCTTATAGTATTGTTCCCCCTTGAATGTTCAAAGTGCTTTCATATGCTGTGTCAGAGAGGTTAAGGATATTTGTGTCGTTCTATTCTGGAAATTATGAAGGTGTGTTACGTAGTTAAAGATACTGTTTGTAATCTGATATTATAATCAAACAGTTCTATCCGTGTAGTTGTTAAGCCTCTGAATTCTCAGGTCTGTCCTCTTGTCTGGCACTTCATTGTTTCAACTCTGTTTCCTTCATAGTTTGCCATGAAAAGACATTTTTCATTACCATTTTTGTAGTATGTGTAAAATGATAAAGGACATTGATATATTAACCATGCAGTTTGGATAGCATGCTAACATTTTCAGTTGCTCACATTTACATTTATTTGGGGAGGTTTTTGTTTGTGTTTTGGAGGTGGTTTCTAGATGCAGTGGGGTTGAAAATGTCTCATGGACACCCTTAGCAGAACTGGTGGAACTGAGAAGCACAAAGCCAGACGTGGCAAGAAGAACGTCAGCCACTGCACAACAGAACATGCTCTGCCTAGACAGTATAGCAGGCACACTGGCATGTCTCATCCTCATAATTGCATAAGTTTGTTACTTCCTTTTTATAGGCCAAACTGAGACTCAGTTACCCAGCTAGTAAGTGATGGATCTGAATTTGAACACTAGACTGTCAGACCATTTATGAAGAGATATCACAGAGCTTTATGAAAGAGTTTGGCCATACTGGCAATAGCATGTCCTGATTCCTGTAATTTTTTTTTTTTTTTTTTTTGTGGTACTGGAGTTTGAACTCAGGGCCTCATGCTTGCTAGGCAGGTGCTCTTACTCCTTGAACCACTCCACCAGCCCTTTTTCATGTTGATTATTTTCGAGATAAGGTCCCTCGAACTATTTCCCAGGCTAGCTTCAAACTGATCCTCCTGATCTCTGCCTCATGAGTAGTTAAGATTTACAGCTGTAAGTCACTGGTGCCTGGCTGTACAAAGCTTTATAACTGCTCCACTTTATATATTGTCCTGTGAAGTCACTTTATCTGTGATTTCATGTCAAATGAGTTCATTTCCCCACTTCGACCTCATGAATTTAGGAGGGACCATTGTGTTACTCAACACGGTAACTATCTGCATTTTGGGATAAAATGATGCTTTGTAGTGTGAACCTACACCATTACAGCAGGTCTCAGTGGCCCTGGCCTCTGCACACCTTTGCCTCATGTAGGATCACACTGCCCCAAGGTTAGGACCACTGGATATGAAAACAAGACGCTCTAATGTGAAGTGTATCCTTCCCCATCCAAAATGACTCAAGCCTATGTCTTCCTATTTGGGTGGTTTATCAACCACTTCAAGAATATAAATTCTATTCTAACTGCAAGGACTCTACCACTTACTGGCTGGGTGACCTTGGGCAAGGTAGCTGAACTTGGCAGAGTCTGGGTTTCATCAATACAGGGTAAGGCTTACCCTGACCAGGAGACCCTAGGGCAGAGGCAAATGCCTCTTCCTGGGTTTGTCCCAGCTCCTCCCTCTGCCCCCTACCCTGAGCAGCTTTAGTCTGTTCCTCTTGGCACAGAGAACATGGTGAGATCGTTACCCGCTTCAAAGTTAAGGAACAGAGACAGGAAGCCAGTGTGGAGAGAAAAGTTCCAGTGTTGGTGCAGTTATTTTGATGACGCCAGTAGAGAGAAAGGTGCTGGTCCCTCTCTTCAGCTTTCCAATTTGCGGAATGCATCCTCACAGTAGAGCTAAAAATTGGTTTTGCTAAGTGCAAAGAATATGTCTTGGCTATTCTGGAATATTTCTTAGGAAAGAAATTTACTTCCTAACTTTAAACTCAGCAGTTCTGGCTCCTAGCAGCTTATTTTACAAACATTTTTAAATGTCATCACTTCATAATTGTGATGGTTCTTTACTTTAACCACTTTGGGATCGTTTCAGAGGTGACATGGCAAGGTTTAAACTAGAAGCAGAAATCTGGGTTTTTGACACTAAAGTGGCACCCTGGTACCAGCAGCAGCCAGAACATGCAGATCCTATGTGGTCAGTTCCTGGATTCTGTCTGTGAAGTGAAAACAAGGGTCTCCCCACAAACTGACTGGGCTGGGAGCCAAGGCCTTACCTCTGTCAGTGCTTCTGTTTTACCTCTTAAAGCCAGAGTTATAGGACTTGTAAAGGGAGTCAGCTCTATCTACCCTATGCCTGGCCTAATCAAGACCTCTGCATTTACCAGTAATAATGACCTGTTCCTCAAATCCCAGATCCTTAATCCATTAATCCTGGTTTCCTTCACCTCTAGACACTTCACAAGCTGCATTCTGGCAGAGGTCTTGTGGAAGAAGCGCGTACCTTCCCTGCCGGTGAGGGCCATTTGCCACCCCTGGATCATCTTTCCTTCTTATCCCTTCTGCACCTGCCCAATAAATGGTAGGAGAGCGAATTAAAGGCCATTTTTACTGGGGCTGGTGGCCAAACATCCAAGAGCAAACTGAATAGGCAAAACAGGCATATTTGCTCACAGAATTGAAACTCACTTTTCAAAATTTTTAAGCAACACATGATGAAAAGAGCAATTCAACAAAATGTGAACTGAGTCTGAAGCAGCCGATGAGAAATGAACTTGCTATTTGAACTAGTCAGGTTCCTGGACACCACCATCCTGCCCTTTGGCACAACTTGCTGTGTGACTCTGCAGCCGTAGAACCCCTTCTCTGCCCTCTGCGATTCTGTGGTTCACACTTGGAGGTCTCCCAGCCCTTCTGTTTTCTTTCCCTGTCATTATAGCAGGGCCCTCTCTGTTCCTGGAAAGAATCAAACACACAGCCTGATCCCTGGCTTGTATGAGCAGTACTACAAGGAAGACATCACCAAGTGAGGCTCTGCAGTCCCCATCCCCAGCAGCAACTGGGAAAGACTTGGCTCCTTGTCCAGGGAGAGCACTCACCCCACACCCCACAGGAACTGTTTGGTCCAAAAGATGGAGAAGATGAGCAACAGAGTGACACTAAGGATGACAGCCATTAGGTAGGCAAAGATCCGGAACTGAGGGTTTCGGAAACACTCCCTCAGAGAGTAGTGGCTGGGAGTGGGGGTGGGGGTGGGGGTGGGCAGAGGCCTGGTGGCAGGGGCCATGTTCTGGAGGGGCCCAGTCTGGCTCCCAGGCCCCGGGCCTAGGTCCAGCATGTAGACCCGAGGCTGGTGCAGGAAGTAACGGCTCTTGGGCTGGTCCTTGAGACACAGCTGACGGCCTTCCAGGATGTGGTGTGGCTCCAGGCAGAGCAGGGTCAGCATAGCAGTGTTGGTGGGCAAGTCAGTAACAGGCTGCCCCGAGGCCAGCACGGTAGGCTGGCGACAGAGTGGACATAGCAAGCGACGCCGGGCTGGAGTCACAAGGCTGAGGTGGGCCAGGCATTCCACACAGAAGGAGTGGCAACAGTCCAGCAGTTTGGGGGTGTGGAATGTGTTGTTGAAGGGGTTCCAGCAGACAGGACACTCAGCTGCCAGCTCCCGTCCCTGTGGCTCAGCCATCCTCAGACCACATGCCAGGTGGCCTCATAGGCGATGTTCTGGTAGAGGGAAAAGGACATGAAGAGCTGTCCCTGAGCTGGGTCTGGGGCTCACAGTTCTGTGGGGTTAAAAGATGCCACCCACATTTTACACATGAAGAAACATAGGTCCAAAAGCATTTTGTTCCAGATCACCCAGTTCCTGAGCCATCAACTGGTACAGCAGCCCTCTCTCAGTAAAAGCCTGAGTCGTTCCACCAGCAGTACCTCAATGAGCTGGCATTGGAAGGGGCCATACCCAGGCTCTGGAGCTGGATAAAAATGCTCCCTTGTGCTCGGTGTGTTTGCTCTGGGCTGCCCTGACTCCAGGGAGGACAGAGAGCAAACCACAAGGTGGTTTTTACTAAAGGACAGATATTTCCTTCCCTGCAACCTCAAATCCTGATCAGGGCAGAAATGGGCTTTGTGATTTCCCTTATCTGTCCCTCCTCTGGAGACAAATACCAGGCACTCTTGCCTTCTTCCCCTTGAGCTGGGGAGTCAACTGGTCCAGTCCTTGGTCTGGTGAGGGGACCCCTGGTAAGGCTTTTTTTCCTTGACCAGGAAGGCAGGAGGAGGCTCCTCTTAGCTCCCCTCCCCTGTCCAAGCTCCCAGGTCAACCCTTTGCCCTTCTCCCAGTCCTCAGCTTCCCCTGGCTCCTCCTCCCCGCTCTGTGGCTTTGTCCAACAAAACTTCAGGACACCCACCTGGGCTTCTGTGGCCTGTAGGGGACACACAGACTACTCTGAAGAGCTGGAGGCTGTGGTCTCCCTCTCCTGAATCCGCAAAGCTTTGGGAAGCTGCCTTCTCACCACCAGCCCCAGAACCATCTCCATGGCAGCACTGGCAGCACCTGGAGCTGCCAGATGGCCTGGGTTGCTGCCTCTAGAGCGCACCTGCCTAAAGCCAAGTTCAGGGAGCTGCCTGGGTGTGGGCTTAGAGGTGAGGGACCTGGGTTTCCCCAAAACACACCCAGAGCATGCAGCCAATCAAACTTAGAAGCCTGGTATCAGCAAGCCTGTGGGCGGTTCTTTCCAGACCTGAAGTCCCTGGCCAGGGAAGGTAGGGGTAGCAATTTCCTCTTTCTAGATTGTGAACAGGTACATGAATCTTCTGGGCTTCCTCTCTCCTGGGCCTTTATTTCTCTTCTAAAATGGCTAGAACCTCCTCCTACTATAAACGGGCTGCCTACCCTACACTTCTATGCTCTGAAATTCACCTACTTCACAGCCTAAAAGCTCTGATTCAGCAGGGTCCCTTTCCTTTCTGATCTTTTAATGCACCGATGTAGCTGCAACCAGAGTGGGCAAACCTTGCTGCCTTCTGCTCTGTTCTCAGAACACAGATGGCCAGCGACTGAGATCTTGACGGTCCCAAAGCTGGCCACCCTGCCAGCCTTAGGGACTTAAAGGGAACAGGTGGGAGGGACTAGCATTCCTGCCCTGTTTCTCTGTTTGCTAGAAACAACTGCCTTTTATCTGTTTCTCATACTGGTCATTTAAATTATTTGAAGAGATGAGCTGCTGGGGGTGGGGGGGAGTTTAAAAGCTGCTTCTTCATTCGTTCACTTTGCAGATGGAGATCAGTGAGTCACCCAAAGTCACCCAGCTATGGTGACACTGGGGCCCATTGTTTGGATCCCCGTCTACCACGTGCTGCTGTCATAAAGGCAGAACATGGTGATACCCATTAGTCTACCTGCTGGATGAGTGAGAGTGGCTACAGAGGAAGTGTCCATTTGTATCAGGAGATTTGTCTTGTGGTAGGAACCCAGGCACTGTTCTTGTTTTTGTTTTGTTTTTCGAGACAGCATCTCACTATGTAGCCCAGGTTGGCCTGGAACGCAGGATCCTCCTGCCTCTGCCTCCAAGTGCTGGGATTACAGACACGCACTACCACACCCAGCTTCCTGTTTTCTTCTAGACCTCTGTTACTGCTCCAAACAGGGAAGAATGAAATGAAAATGTGCAGGGGGAGACGCCACAGTCCAAACTAAAGCTAGGAAAGCAATAGCTAACCCAGGCTCCATACCAGCAGCGCCTGACTTAGGGGCCCATTCGTCCGGTTGAACAATTACTGAGTGCTCACCACATGCCAGGTGCTGCAGCAGGCTTACATAGAGAAAGGTGAATAAAATCAACATCATCTTTGGCCTCGTGACATTTTAGAGGCTAGTGAGACAAACAGGCAATAAAGAAGGTCATAATTTTAATGACTGATAAAAAGGACAAAAAAGAAAATGGGCTTGGGTTGGAAGTTTCCTCCAAAGGTGATGTAAAAGGTGAAACAAGGGTGAAAAGAATCCAGCCATGCAGAGTGGTGAAAAGCATGCCAGGCTCAGGGAACAGAACATGCCAAAGCCCAGAGGTGAAAAGTCCCATCAGTTTGAGAAAGCAAAAGAGGCCAGGGAGACCCAGAGGCTGGGGTGGGCAAATGCTCAAGATGACCAGAGGGGTAGAAGGCAACACCAGTAAGCTCAGGAATGGATTTTACTAGGGAGGAGGGCAGGTGGTGTGTGAGACCAGATCCCTGGGCCTATTTCCATTTTTGCTTGTTTGGGTTTTTTGTGTGTTTGTATAGCATCTCACTAGTATATGCCACCATGCCTGGTTCCTATTTCCACTTTTAAAAGCCATTCTAGGTACAGAGAGGGAAGGCTCTGGTGGAAACTAAAGACCAGTTATAACAGTGTGGTCCAGGAGTGTGATGGTGATGGATGATGCAGATCCAGCTAGGGTGGAAAAGATAAAGTAGGTGGGATAAAAGATTTCTTTGGAGATTGAATCAAAACCACTTCCCAAGAAGCAGTGGACTTCTTGAGCCCAGCCTAGAGATCCTCAACCAAGTTGTTGAGGCTCATGACCCCGGAACCACTGGTTATTAGGACTGATTCTGGGTGAATTGCTTAACTTCCCTGTGCTGCAGATTCCCTTTGTGAAAAAAAAGGCTCAACATAGTGAAGCTTTTAGAGAGAGCTCAGCGAAAGAGGGCAAAGCCCTGGGCTCTATCTAGGGGGTGGCTGATGTTATTACTGAAAATGGACTTGAGAGAGAAAGACATTCTGCAGCCTTTAAAATTAATGCAATAAAATGCTAATGGGGGCTGGCAGAGTGGTTCAAGAGGTAGAGTGCCTGCCTAGCAAGAATGAAGTCCTAAAAGAAATATATCTACGATACAATGTCATGAAGTGACAAAAGCTAGTAATAAACCACATCATAACATAAATCCTATTTTCAAAAGTATGTGCTCAGTGGGAAAAAAGTCAGGAAAGATAAACAAGCAAATGTCAACAGTGGTTATCACTGAGAGCAAGGCTGTAGGTTTGCATTTGGTTTTGGTTTTACTTCTCTTACATGAAAATTCTAACTTTACTCCAGTAAGCCTGTCTTACTATTTCATCCCAAATCATCTCTACATCCTCTGAAGTTCTGTGGCAAGAGCTGTAAAAGGCTATTTAGGAAGAGGCATGGTGACCGTTGCCTGGATCCTTATCAGCAGGCACCATTGTGTTCCAGGTCCAGCTGGTCAGAGTCCTGTCTCTCCAGAAGACACTGCCCATCTCACCCCCCAGGACAGCTCAGCGGTGGCAAGAACTAAATCCCACTCCAGGGATTTCACCTTGGTCTAAGGTAAGTCATCACCAAATAGTAACTGTGTGTAGCATAATCCTAGTGTGTTCAAGGCAAGATGACAGAGATGGAGAACTGGCACAATGATGGCACTTGACAGTTTTCAAAGGGATCTATACATGGCAACACAGCTCCACAGGATAATCGCCCTTTACAATTTGTTTCCACTTGCACAAGGCCACTTGATTCTCTACAACCACCCTGTGAAGGAGACAGAATGGGGAGTAAAAGGCATGTAAGCTTTGAAAGAGCCTTTCCTGCTGATCTGAGCAAATGGCTTGACTTCTGTGAACTTCCTGGTCCTCTGTGAAAGAGGCTGATGACCCCTCTCACCTTACAGGGTTGCTGTGAGGAACGCAGTCCATAGTTAGCAAAATTGTTTTACATCCATTTGACAGATGGGGAAGCCAAGGCTCAGGGAGTGAAGTAATTTGCCCAGGGCTTCAAAGCTAAAGATTGGCTGAGCTTCAAAGGTGACCGAGGAGCCTGACTCCCCTCCGTGCCCATACCTCCATGACCCTCTCTCACTCCTTACCTGTTTCCTCAGAGCTTCCTCCTCCTCCAAGTGCGGCCCTCTGGCTGGTGCAGGGTGCTGACTTCTGTACTGCCTCCAGGCCACCAGGGGTGGGCCTCATTTGCATGGGTCTCCCAGGAAGTGGGCGTCGTCGTTTGCATAAGTCTCCAGGCTTCCGTTTGTTCTCTGGCAGGTTGCCCTCTTCCCAATGATGACTTTGGACTGCAGAATTTTTTGTGTCTCTTCCCTGTGTGAGTCACACTCTGACTACCCTTGAAGGCCTCATTTCTGGGCAAGGCTGGGCTCCTGCTATGTCTTGACTGCACTCATTTATGGGTGACCAGGTCCAGCAAGGCCTCACACACAGCCTGACTTTGAAGGGAAGGCAGGGTACTCCTGAAGCCACAGACGCTTCCCTGCTCTGCACCTCTGCAATGAAAACACAGAGCTCTTGCAAAATACAAATAATCAGCAGAAAGGTAGTCAGACCACAGTCCAGTAAGCATAAGCAGGAACAGCCCAGCCTCTCCAGCAAGCCAGACTTCTAGACATGCTGAGAATCCAGCAACGAGACAGGCAAATTAGTTCACTTCTCCAAGCCTCAGTTTCTCCACCTGAAAATGGGGATAAGAATCTACTTCCTCATTAGGCACCCGTGGTTCACACCTGTAATTCTAGCTACTCAGGAGGCAGAGATCAGGAGGATCATGGTTTGAAGGCAGCCCAGGCAAATAGTTCTTGAGACCCTATCTTGAAAAAGCCCATCACAAAACAGGGCTGGCAGAGTGGCTCAAGTGGTAGAGCACCTGCCAAGCAGGTGTGAGGCCCTGAGTTCAAACC